AGTTCCTGACAAAAAACTACACTCCGCATACATAACCTTAATAAATTATTACGAGCCATATGACCCCGATCATAGGCAACCAACATTACACTATTGGCACTATCCACTAAAAATCCCTAAACTAGCGTTATCAGTCCTTATGAATCATTTGTAATGAACAATAACAAACCGTTGTGTTTACGACGTTACAGTGTCTATTTTAGATAGAATTCTTTTCTGTACTGATTTTTTTGTATGTCCTGCTCCTGATTGGAATTAACTGTCAGGGCAGTCAATTTTTAATGAACGGAAGCGGTGAAGGTTGCATAGGTTCCGTTGCTTTTAATTGAGAATGTATTGCCCATCTCTGTTGTACAGTTTCAAGAAGAAGAATAAGATCTGGCCTTGAATGTTTTTAAATCCACTTTTCGCAGTATCCATGTCAAGTTCTAGATGACTGTAGCGTATGTTTTGTGGGGACAAATTCCTAGTATCCGAACTGTTGTCACATGTCACTGGAGAAGGTTAATGTTGAAGAAAGAAACATTGATTTATTCGTTTGTTATTGTTGTTGACAACACCTTCAATATAAACAAATTTATTTGCTTATAAGCACTTCTAGCCCTATCTAGAATTCATTTTTTTTATCGTTACGTTTTGATACCTTGATCAATTAACGAGCCGACTCAAGTAGAGAGTCATAGTATCAGGGTCGTTTCCACGAGTGGAATTCTATAGAAAGTGTTATATAAACATAAATTACTTTGAAACTAAAGATAATGAATAACTTAATAATTTTTTTGCTTGTATATTATTGCAATTCCTCAAAATTAGTGTTAGAGTAGGGAAATAATTACTTTTTCGTCAAAAACTTTGGACATTTATTACATTTAGTAAAAAGAAAACAAGTAAATATGTATTCTGAAACATTTACCTACATACATTTATTAAAATATAATACACTGTATTAAACTTTTAAAACATCATTAAAAAAATGGGAAATGACCCCATTGTAAAAACCTTGTACGTACAACCAATTTTGCCAATTTATATTGAATAATACTCTTACATCGGTGACAAAAATAGAAAATATCCCATCCCGATAAGTTATGATGGCATTCTCGTCTCTGAAATTGGCCACGGTCGTAAAATATCAAAGATAAACCGAGCAATTAATTGTTTTAATTATCGGAACTGCGTCATTTGGTCGGGATTCTCTAAGCGAAGAATTTTGTGTGTTTCATTCTTATACATACGAAGCGTGTTTGTCCTCATTGGATTGCCGACAAGCGTCCACACGATTTTCTTTGCGTTGTTCGGTCAAACGAGGAACAAATTTTGCTGCAACTCGATTCATGTTCAATTTTTCAGTCAAAATTTCATGGCGTGACCCAATTGAGATTCTAACCTCTTCTGCAACATCTCTGACAGGCGATTTGCACGCACCAGACCATTGACTTTCTGAACGTAGGAGTAATCAGTTGAAGTCGACAGCCTTCCTAGTCGAAGATCATCTTCAATTGACTAACGACCACTTTTAAACCATGAAAACCATTCGTAACATTGCGTACGACCCAGAGCATCCCCGTAAGCTTGTTTCAAAAGTTGAAACGTTTCCTTGAAAATTTTCCCCAGTTTCATGCAAAATTTTACGTTGCATTTGTATCGCAGAAAATCGCACATTTCAAAAAACGTTACACATTGCACTCAAATAACAATATCACGAATAAACTAAATTAGATATCAACAACAACAATCGAAAAATGTGTGGTTACTGGTTACAGAGGAAGTTCTGTGCAAAGCAATGCTGCCAACCACTTGTCGCTAAATATCCCGATTGGCGCGTGATTCAAAAAGTTTGGTTATTTTCTGAACAGACCTATAAGGTTATAAATAAGTCCTACAATTAAGTTTAGTTACGAAAAATATGTATATCGCCCTTAGGTGAAACGTATACTACAAAACTTTCTAGTAAATGTGTAAGATTTTGTGTTTTTTAAATCATAGAAGTATTGAAGAAAGTCGACGAACAACGGCCCTACTTTTGAATCGTGTAAATGTCAGACACGAGTTTTATTAACAATAATCGACAGCTTAGACTATAGATAACCGTTTTGAAAAAATACGTGTCTTGTCTATCGAATAAAATATTTTAGGAACAAATTCTCACTATACATCAGCAAAATCCTTATATAAACTTAATTGTATTTTATTTCTGCTTTAATTATAATTTTTATTGACCACTACAAAATTTTATACAATAATTAGTCGGATGTGCGCGCGTCGGATGTTTGTAGTTTCAAAGTATTTGTTTTCATATGTATTATGTAACTAAAATTTAAGTTTTGAAATTTGAACGATTTTTATAAAAGTAGCCATATTGCATAGGCATCTTTTTATGGTAAAATCTTTGAATGTGTCATTTTTTCACCAAAACGTGTTGGCTTTCATTGATGTTCTCGCTAAGGTAACTTCCTTGTTTATCAGTGTTATATTTCATCACTTTATTTATTCGCCTTATCTAAGGTTTTCAACCCAATTTCACAAACAAAAGCTTTGCCGCTTACAATTTAAATAAATTAACATTTGTATTTTTGTATTGTCGTGTTTTTCAACAACTACTCGGATCGTTTCAATCCAAGTTCTTTGAAGGTGCTTGGAAAAGTGTAAAAATTCAATTTGAGCGTAAGCTTCAGCGTCATCGTTAGAGATTAATTGTTTTAAGTGGATTGTTATTGTAAATAACGTACAATCTAACGTAACGGGATGTTATATTTTTCCAAAGAGAATTCCAGTTACGGTCGTTAAATTAGGAATTGGCATGTATTTTATTGTAAATTATTTTAATTCGACAGCTCAAGAGCCCTTTCTGGCTAAATTATCGTCGATCTCAGGATCATATAATCCCTACAACACCCTTCATACATAAATAGCTATTACATGAATACTTTTTCAAAAATAGTCTCTTAGTTTTATTCAAAATTTTCTCGGGGCGCAAAAACTGATTATTCTAGCAAGTTTTAGGGGGATTTGCCTAAAACCTGTTTTTTTTACAATTTCCTGACAAACCACGGAATGTAAAGAAACACTAACATCAGCAGTGTTTTCAGCAAGTCCATAACGGATTCTTGATTGTTTTTGTCTATTTGGAAAATTTCGTATGTCTATAATTTTTTTTAGAAACTTTTGTCGTGCCTCATGACAAATATTAGATCCAATTTGTTTGTGTTTCTATGAGGAATCTGAAAATATCTTTCTACAATCTGTTTTTAGGTAAAGTCCAAGGAGGTAATTCTTTTTTTTAACTGCCTATTGAGCAGTCTTAAAAATGCACGCGGATTTGATTTTTTAATAAAAATGATGTTGCTTCGTGTTTAACCTCAACGCAAATTCCTTGAAGAGAATACGCTGTTTATTATTGTTTAAAAATTTATAAATATTAGCATACTCTTGACGCAAAGCTCCCTGGTATCTTTCCTGGTAAGACAAATAAAAATCTTACCTCGGAGTATAATTAATAAAAAAAAAGCTAGTAAAACACAATACTATAAATATTTGGGCTTTACGTATTTGCCCGATGCTTGTACTGATTACCAAAAACAATTCCCTAATGTTTATATTGATTATGCATTAATATGTTGTTGGTTGGTAGCATTTTTCATAACCAAAAGCAAGCAGGAACCATAAATATTTACAGTTTCTTTCCCAGCTTTATTTACATTTCTCTTACTGGGTTAATTACACTAGATAATAAAGTATGACTTAAAAAAAAGGCTCCAAAGAGGGCTGATAAGTTCTCTAGGAAGGGGTACAATGTATCAGTTACACTCTGTATAATTCATGCAGTCTGTGTATTAAACATTGTTGATTTTAGCATTAACGCCTTAGCAACTAGCCAAATATTTTACCATACATTTAACGTACCTGTGTGTATTTAAAGCGAAAACTAGGTAGTCTCAATATAGTCTAACAATAAACTACATTGTACGAAAAAAAAAGGCCGTGTGTGATCGATAGTCCCTGGCTTCAAGGAACATTGTAAACAGAAATTTGGTGCCTCGAAGCTTAAAAATTTAATATGTAGGCATTGCTTTAATATTTCAGGATATTCGCGGAATCATGCCTTTACGTATTGTACCAGGTGATATTTATATTTTAATCAGGTTCGCATGTGCAAGAAAAAAAAAAAGAGGTAGTTTAGATTCTTTATTTGGCGAACGATCAGATTTATGTCCTTCAAGCAAGCAGAAGCAGAAATATGAAAAATTATTCTGACTGAAACGTGAATCAAATAAAATTACTAATAAAATTGAATGATATTGTTAGCCTCGAGTGTGCGAAGGTAATATTATAATTTGAACACTTTCGTCGCGGTTTAAAATTGAATTTAAACCAAGATCAATTAATGTAACATAATAATCACCTACAATTACCGATTATTAATTATTATGTAGCAATAAAATGGGGTTTTATTGCGGCAGGCCCGTACTAGTCCAGCGTCTCAATTGTATGCCAAAATTGACTCGATATTAACGGAATTACATAACCTCAATGTTATTCCGTTGTAAATTAATATTTTGCTATAACTTGTACAATCATTTTGGTGCAAATACCAGTTATGATAAAATTATAATTAAAAAAAAGATCATGTAACTCCTTTAATATAAACATACCTACCTTTGTTACATAAGTTCTGAGAGATTTATTACAAAATTAGAGGTTAACAACACACAAGATTGTCTCATACAAAATATTAGGATCTAGATTTGAGATTAGGACTAGAAAACAGTTTCCTTTTATCAGATCTGCTCACTTATTCTTTCGCAATTCTAGAGTACCCAGATCAGTTAGTAGGGAAAGCTCCTAAGTGATCGATAGTGTTAATATTTTAATTTATCCATATTGAAGTTTTAAGACGACAACAAAGATAATTGATACTTGGGCCCGGGGGTCCACCTGTCCCAAAAATGTTAACATACAGCCGACACACCAAGGGAGAAACCAACCGACCTTTTTTTCAGGCACTGCAATTAATTAATGCAATTGGCATTATGCACACCGCCCTCTACGATGGGGTAAGTTCACGCAAAGCGGTATTTTTTTTCTTATTAACCAACACCACATTCTCAGAACTGTCGATTTGTCGTTAATTTGTTTTTAATCGGTCCCCACTCTGCTGCACATTCACTCGTAGGCGTAACGAAATTATTTTTTTTTCCTTGTTTGAAAAAAAGTGAAATCAGTAATATTTTGTTTCGCAACTGTGGCAGCAGTGCTTCGTAACAATAGCATGGAAAGGTGCTAACAGAAATTTAACATTCTTAAAGTGGAAACCTTGTTATTTTTCCCGTAAAATCAAAGAATTGTGTAATTGCTGATATTTTTGCTTAGATTCCGAAATTTCTTATAAATATAGGAAAATTCAAATCTAAAGTTAATTAATTACCATTTTTGCTTGTGCTTCACATACGAGGTGGTCCATTTGTGTGACGAAATATAACTATTTTGTTACTGTTTGCGATACAAAAAATGTTCTTACAAAATTTGAAGGCGTATTTTTTATTTCATAGCGACAAATTATGAGTCGAAAGAATCCAGGAAAGAATCGAAATTTTAAAATCAATACCACCCTATAATTTTTTTTTTATTTAAATTATTTCGAACTACAAATTTCGAGACCTTTTCTAGAACTTTTCAAATGCAATAACTTATATTTAAATGCCCTATTTTGTGTTTTATATTGCCATTAATCTCTATTCAAGTATTACTATGGGTATTTTTTTGGCAATGTTGGATATATTAAATTTATTTTGTAAGAATTACTGTATTAAATATGTTTTTATAATATAAATAAATTAAATTTAGTTTTTTATAACCTAGTCTAGTTATTAGACAACAATAATTACAAAACCAAAACTATTCTGCATCTCTGAATAAACCAATTAACCAATTTTAACCTACGGTTTTGTCTCTCGAACAGTAACGAAGCTGTCGTGCTTTGCCACGCGAATAGACCGCTCTGTATCCTTTTTAAATTTAATAATAACTATATTTTTAAATGTTTTTTGTACCTACTCACTTAAACGCCATTTTATTGACATCATTCCCTCAGCTGAGTGTGAACAATTGAATTTTACTAACAATGTTTATACCCAAATATATATTTTTTCGTTGCCATTGTTCCCTCGCACAGGCATTTCATTTTTCAATGACTTATCTCGAAACAGATTACCGGCGTGCGGATGACATTAAACTAGAGGCAAGGTTAACATGACATTAAGCGAAAAAAATGCGATTAACAACAATCTTTCGCACGATAGAATGTAAGCAAGCCTCTAGGTGCAGAACGGACCACGGAGCAGATAACCAGTCTAACTGAATTGTGAATTACTTGCTAAATAGCAAGCGAACGCCTTGGTTCTTTGTGATATTTCGTAGACCGTTTTACCTTAGCCCAGTTTATACAATCAATTATTTTCGTGGTGCATAATAAACGGTGGATTTTTAATATTTATGATGAATGACGCTGCCACATAACCTAAAAATTAAACGGATTTGCTCTATCCGAGTTTCTGTTAAAATATGAGAAGTAATGGAGGCTCCCATGAAAATTTAACAAAGGTTCCACCATTTCATTTTTTCCGGAACATTAGAACTATTTCACTACATCATTTAAACCTGAATTTTACTTTTGCTAACTGTATGTGTATGTACGATCATCTCAATTGTATTTTTCTTCTCAGTCTTCTTATGTGACTGCCTCTTTTCCTATGCTATTTATATACAGGGTGTTTCAGAAATAAGTGCCGACATTTTATCCACATATTTAACTTCAAAAGCAACAACAACCTACCACCATTGAAAATGCGCTTTTGGAGAATGTTGCAAATAATTCTAGACCTAGCTCTCGAGATTAATAAGAATGTCTCCAGATTAATCCAGAACTTCTTCATAAGAGCGAATCTGTCGAAATATCCCACATAATAGAAGTGTAGATCCTTAGATTATTAAATTATTTTGCGAAATCTATCAATCGATTTTAATGAATTTGGTGTGTTGTTTTATTATACTCTAAATTTTTTTTTACCAAAATTAGAATGCCCTCGGAGCGATTAAAATATTTTAAAAAAATTATCCAAAAAACTTGATTATTTTGCATGTTTTTTAATAAATTATTGCTATTTTGCAACATCGGCAATAAATTTAAAAATTTTTAACATTCACTATATTGTGCAAAATTCAATTGTAAAACATTTTTTCCTCTTCAATATTCTTCCAAAATGCATAGGTTCCAAGATATAAGTAAAAAACTAAAGGTATTTAATAAAAAAATACCTATTATAAAATAGGTATTTTTTAAACATTTTTGCAATTTTGAAAATGTTCCGGACCTCGCCCAGATCTAGGGATCTACACTTTTATTATGTGAGAATCCATAACAAATTTGCTTGCCCCCTCTCACATCCATTTCAAAACGGATCCGCTTTGGTCCAATAACTGAGGAGATTTTGACATATGTTGTAACTTAATTGAGTAAAATAAACAAAAGATGTTGCTTTTGAGGAGTTAAATATGTGGTTAAAATGTTGGCGTTTATTTTTAGTACGTCCTATATTTTCAACCATTAAATCTAAATAAGTGTCATACCAGGAAAAATATAGTTATTCAAATATGAGTTGAATTAAAAAAAAAACTAGACTAAAAAAAGGCTAAACGGCACTAGATTTACAAGTTATTCAAATTTTCATTGATTGCAAAGTTTGTGTGTCTAGCCACCAGAATTTGAAACATGGCATTGTACCCTGTTTGAAATATAGAAAGTTAACCTAATTTCCCGATCGCCGGAACACATTTATTATCATGTTTATTTTAATTTATCGTTTGGTTAAATTTATCTTATAGTTTTGCTACTATTCTATAAATAAATTCGAAAGCGACATATATGATGGCCAAATAATATAAAATCAGATGTCAAAAAGGAATTACAATAGAAATAATCTAATTATTATAAGTATAAATTGTCAGCATACAAGAATAAACATTTAAAATTGTAGTTTTGTTTTCTATTACTCGCATTTTGTTTAATTTATCTGATTATATTTTAATAAAGGTTTAAAAAAACAAAAATATGAAAAGCCAGGCACATTTACAACGCAATTCGGTTAGTCATTAAACATTCCAATCTCGCAAATAAGTAAGCGTGTGTATGGTCGACTGACATACGAAGTTACATCACCAAAACAAGTTGCATATAAACCCATGTTTACCAGATGTGTTTTTTTTTGCTGCATGATCAGATAAAAAAGTCAATACGTCACCCGGCTGTATGTTAACTTTTTATTCCACCCTTCGCTGTTTAAAACATGCCTAGTTAAAAAAAAAATGGGTTATGAATGTGACTTGCGTGAATGGGGTCTGAGCGTGGTAAAATATGATTTAGGTGGAGTCATTTATGATTGATCAGGAGTTCGAGGACGACCCCCATGTAGAGTCCAACAACAAGTACCTTCTCAACCCCGAAGAAGAAAGGGCCGTCGACCCCGAGACTCAGGCCAGGCTCGAACAGCTCCTCCAAGCAGCAGGTGAGATATCATGTTTGAGTAGATACCTAATTATTAATAATATACTGCACCTTCCTTCATACAGATATTTAACATTTTTTCATATTTTTATTGTTGCAGTACTTATATTTTTTAAGAAAATCTTATTTCAGTTCGAACGCATGTTACTCGATAATAATTATGAATTTTTCACGTATTTTAATGCAGTATAAAGTATTTTCAACATGTCGCTAAATGTCAACAGTTCTAAGACCGGTCACCCTGTATATTTGTCGATTCTAGTGCTTTTCGCGAGTTGCAGTTGGCTGCACTGAAACTCTAAATAAAACCGTGAAGTTTTGTCAAAGTTTTTGGTTATGTGCGCTGAGGTTTTCAGCAGCTAGAGTTTGAGTCCCAGACCAGAGGATAAAAAAACTATGGCAGAAGATCGACTACATGCTTATTGTATGTACTGTATATGTCAGTTTCTTTGTCCTTAAATGTGTCCAGAATAAGTTTTTGTTTTCGTGAAATTTTCTTGGAATATCAGATTGGGCACATGATTGTATGTGACATCTCGGCATAAATCAGCCGGCAGCAGACGAAAATCAGACAATGGAGTATTAAAATATCCTTGCCAACTTATCGTTAAAAGTAAATTCAGTAGTTTTAAATATAACGGTTATTAAAAAACTCGATTTCATTGATAAAAATAGTTGGTTGTCCTTTATTGCTAAGAACTTTTGATTGCAAGATTAGCAGTGGAATAATAGCATTGGTTTTTGTGCTTGATTTCACATATCTAATCAGTGGTGTAAGTGGAAAAGAAGTTAATGTTGTATGAAATGTAATTGCTCTTATAATAAACTTACATAATGAATTATTAATGCGATACATGAATACTTTCATTTTATATTGTTAATCGAGAAGTAATTAACTACTGTTTGGGTCTCGAACAAGAAACGTAGGACTAAGATTATAATATTTTCTCAGAAACAAATCAAAAAAATGTTTTTACAAAATTTATCAGCCCTAATGTTTTTATCCTACAACGCCGTAGCATGTTACGGTGAAACAAATTTTATCTTCAGTTCATTAAAATAATTAGACGGGTAGTCGAGTACAGATAATGGAAAGAGCTTTTGTGAAAAGTTTTGAAACGGAGTATCGTTTAAAGTATGTAGAACTGGTGTTTACATTTCATATCTTTACTTATACTTTTACCGATTCGCTTTGCATATAAAAATGAGATTAAATTATGTAGAAACAATTCTGAAATCCAAATAAGCTGGTGTTTAGGATATGACATTAGAATTACAGATAACTGATGAACCGAATCTTGACAAATAAAATCTGTGAATGTTTTCGTTTCGCATAATTTTCATTCTTTAAGTTTTTGTAAGAGAAATAATAAAAGTACGGGCGAAAACGATATTATTGAATCGTATCGAAACGGTTTTTAGTACTATAAAGATATTTAAGCACTTCCCAGTAGTAGTATATTTTCAAAAGCAGTCTTCAAAAATATACAGGGTCACGGTTTCAATACTCGGGCATAGGACAGTTGGCACCAAAAGATGGTAAGCATCTAGGGAACCCAGAGGTCCTCCGTCGACTGACATCAAGTGTTTCCTGTGCCCTAGACGAGGCAGCCGCCGCCCTCACCCGCATGCGTACCGACAACCCCACCAACCGAGGCAGCAGTTCCGCCAACAACCAGCAGCAGCCCGAGAAGATCTCGCTGGTGGAGGCCTGCACGGACGGCGATGTGGGCACCGTCCGCAAGCTGCTGACGGAGGGACGATCCGTGCACGAGACTTCGGAGGAGGGAGAGAGTCTGCTGTCGCTGGCGTGCAGCGCCGGATACTTCGAACTCGCCCAGGTCAGTGGAATGACGGCAGTAGCTCTCTTTGACCGCTTGGTCCGTTGAGTCAATTTGTCTCGACAAAAATGTTAGTGTAAACTTTAAAAATAGTTGATATTCTAAGTACAGCTAATAACGGTACAAGGTTGATCCTTGGACAGGGTTTCTACTCGATTTGGAAAGACTAGAAATTAATTTTAGACCTTGGAAGTCGGGATCAAGGTTATAAATGTTTGAGGGTCACAAAAAAATGGTAAGCTACCGTAATACATTAAAGTAATAACCGTTAAAAATATTTTAATATTTCTTTTTCTTTCTTAATTTTACCACCTTGTTTTCGCTGAACACTAATACATCAGATAATTTTGGAGCGTTTACCAACATAGCAAATATGTTTATTTTTTTTTGTGAACTTATTTGAAAAAGTGTATATGCTTCGTACAGATTCTGTTTTAATTGTCAAAGCAGGGGAATGTAAGGAAACCCAAAATATGGTGAGTAACTTACCTTTGTACTAGACTGCACCCCTTTCAAATTTCGAAATAGAGCATAAATCGACCGAAAATAGAGTTCAATTGAAGCATTTTAAAGGGTTGGTAAGGGATGATGCATCATTAAAAAGTTACAGAATTTTTTTTAAAATGATTACATTTTATGGGGAATTTATTTCTAAAACTTTCTTACTCATTAGTATTCAAAAAACTTTGTCTTTTTCAACAAAAACACGAATAACTAATAATACGTATTGCAGCTGTTATTTAAAATCATCGAAAGTTCAAAAGTTGGCTGTGAATTTAAATGTTAAACTTGACTATTAGGAAAAAAAGTTGGAATAGGAATAATTTGATGAGGAACAAACAACTTAAACAGCAGAAATAACATACAGTTTACAGTTGCAGAAATTGTTCAAAATGATCACCGTTTTCTCTCAGGCATAAAGAGTGACCCAAAAAAAAGCCGTATTTTTCGCCCGTTTCGTGGACCTCAAGAATTCAATTCAATATATATCCACTTAAAAGATATACAAACACTTAAAGAAGTCACTCGGTTTTGCGAGCAATCAGTTTTTTGGCAATTTCGGGTGCTGCTGATCCAACGGAAGAGACTTCTCTTAAGAAAATAGTTGCGTATTGTTTTACATGATCTGAGTGATGAAAATGTAACCTCATTGCTTGCAGAAAGGGTAGTCCCTCACAACATGTTTTCTTAAAGAATAATCTAACATAATTGTATGCATGCAATAGAATCAATTTTAAAATATCACTAATGTACACTTTGATTACTGTTATTTTTTTCTTTCATTGTTATTAATCTTACATCCAAATTACTCTGATTAAAAGTCCTTCAAATACAAGGCTTAGAGTATCTATCGAGATTTTGTAAGTCTCCAGTATAAAAATACCGATTAATTGAATATTTTCAGCAAAAATCCCGATTTTTTTTTGTAAAATCGGCAGTACCTCATTAAAACAAAGTGTTTGGTAAAATCTAATGGTAGATTCATAAAGAAGGAAAGATTTTACATAGGAAATGGTACACTTTGCATACACCACTCTAAAGTATCACCAGAAGCTATTATTTAGACCACTTTTGAATCGAATTTGTGAGGTCGACGAAACGGGTGAAATTTTGGGTCTCTCTTTATTCTTCATCGAGAATTTACGTCTACTATATCAAATAGCTACTAATTGTTTAAATTTTTTACATTTAAATTCAAATCCATAGCCAACTTTTAATTTTTTGATGATTGAGTAAGAAATGTTTTAGAATTAAATTCCCCCTAAAGTCTACTCTATCAAATAGCTACTGATTGTTTAAATTTTTTACATTTAAATTCAAATCCATAGCCAACTTTAGATTTTTCGATGATTTTGATAATAGTTACAATACATATTATTAGTTATTTGTATTTTTGTTGAAAACGACAAAGTTTTTTGAAAACTAACAAGAGTAAGAAAAGTTTTAGAATTAAATTCCCCCTAAAATAAAATTATAAATTTTAAGACGGCCTACGGATAAAAAAATTCTGTCACATTTTAATGGTGCATCATCCCGTATCGACCCTTTAAAATGCTTCAATTGAACTCTACTTACTGTCGAAACCTTTCAAGGCCTATAACTTCACAGGAATGTAGCTTAATACAAAGGTAAGTTGGTTAAATCACCATATTTTGGGTTTCCCTGCTCCTGCTCTGTGCCGGTTCCTATGCGAAATGCCCTGTATATATTTATGTAATTCATATGTTTGTGTAGTCTCATAATAATAGTAATATCTCTACCCCTCATTCTACTCGCAAGGATTAGCCCAAAAGTCGGAGACATGTGCAGGAGAGGGGGTGGCATATTATTATTCAGTAAACCACACGAACACCCTCATGGATCATATATAATTATTATTTTATTTAATATCACACGATACAACGAATAACATTAATTGTTTGGTTGCGTCAATTTCAGACTCATTAAAAAATATTGTAGACGGAATTTTTTCTCATAAAATATGTACCGCAGATAAAAATATTACTCAACTACTTTTAGAACCTGGATTCATACGAATGTTCATTATTTATTTTGAATTGATTTCGTTTTCTAGTGATAGCGATAGAATGTAAATATTAACGGATAGCGGTGGAATTAATAAACATAATTGTTTTGGGAACCAATAAACGAGCCTAAAAGTAAACAATTGAATTGAAGCATTTCTTTTGTTTTGTCCTGACGTTGTATTCATTTGTTACCACAAACGAAGATAATAATATAAACTTTCTGCTTCGGACTAAGGTGTTTTTATTTTCTAAATGTTTTAAACAATGTATTTGTTTTATTATTTAAATAATATGTTTTTTCAAAGCATTCTACGATTAATTGAAAGTTGCATTTTCATTTAGAATTTATAAACTGTACTTGTAGTTGCTTTGTAAACGAAAAAATTTCTGTAAATGGTCCTATGGAGATAATTTAGGGAATAAACGTTTTGTTGAAAAATCTTGATCGACTGTTACAAAAGTAAACATCTTTTCTTTACAAAAACAATGTGTTTTCTCTTTGTAATAATAAAATGGCTTGAAATGAATTCTTCAGTCATTCAGTGACACATTTTTGAAACTTTGTCAAATAAATAGCTCGACAGAAGTCACAATCAGATGGAAAAACTGTTTGAAAACAGTTCGAGTTAATTCATAAGGTACGAAATACACATTTAAGCTTAATGTAAGTCTTGAGGTGTTTGAAATATACTAATCCCAATAAATTTTCAAACATGAGGGGGCCACTTTCTGATTTAAACACAAAAATGCGAAACGGAAACAAAGGCTAAAGCAAAGTTTATGTTAAAGGTTCTTTTGGCAATGCATGCTAATGTGGAAGACCGAGGCATTAAGGGAGAATGTACTCCTTTAATGGAAGCAGCTTCTGCAGGACACCTTGATATAGTCAGGCTGCTAGTAGCCCATGGGGCTGACGTAAATGCCCAATCCACATCAGGTAAATATACTGGTTAATAGATAGGCGGATCGCCCACAATAATTTTTGCTTATTTTAACCTAAACGTGAAATTGATTTGAGGCGATTAAATGCTGTTTTCTGTGAACTTAGACTAGTTTCATTCATCCCGTCTTACCTAATTGTAGTAGATTTCTAACTTAACCCAACATAACCTTTTCAATTTCAATCTAACCTAACTTTTAATAAAGATAACCTAACTTTTAATAAAGGTAACACACATCTGAAAACAAATATGACTGTTGTATGCCATTTTACAAAGAATTGCGTAACTAAAAATGTCTTTTCTCAGAAGTAAAGTGCGTCTCAAAAAATTTCAGAGTAGTCTTCTTCTTATAATTGCAAAATCGTGCAGCTAAATACACGCCGTTGTGTTCTTGCCCCACAGGTAACACGCCCCTAATGTACGGCTGTGCGGGCGGCCACACCGAGGTGGTGAAGTTCCTCCTGGAGAACGGCGCCAACGTGGAGGACCACAACGAGAACGGCCACACCCCCCTCATGGAGGCGGCGAGCGCGGGCCACGTCGGCCTCGCCAAGATCCTCCTGATGCACGGCGCCGGCATCAACACCCATTCCAACGAGTTCAAAGAGTCCGCCCTCACGCTGGCCTGCTACAAGGGCCACCTGGACATGGTCCGGTTCCTGCTGGAAGCCGGCGCCGACCAGGAGCATAAAACGGACGAGATGCACACGGCGCTGATGGAGGCCTCCATGGACGGCCACGTCGAGGTGGCCAGGCTCCTCCTGGATTCCGGGGCGCAGGTCAACATGCCCACGGATAGTTTCGAGTCGCCGCTAACGTTGGCGGCGTGCGGCGGACACGTCGATCTCGCCATGCTGCTGATAGAGAGGGGCGCCAATATCGAGGAAGTTAACGACGAGGGGTACACGCCGCTCATGGAGGCGGCGAGGGAGGGGCACGAGGAGATGGTGCATCTCTTGTTGGGGCAGGGTAAGTACCAAGTTTCTGTAAATTGTTGTTTATTTGGTTTGTCGTTAAATAATGCAAGGTGTCCTGAATAGTGTTGTGAAGGCGAGAGTGTTGTCTTTGGAAACACAAAAGGAAAACTTGTGCTTTTTTTGAATTTTTCTGTAATTTTGCGATAAACGAGCGGCATGTTGCATTTTAATTACTGCGTTGGTAAACAATGAAAAATATGGAAGGCCTAAGAGCATTTTCACGTCAAACATCTCACGTTTCTTAATTTTATAATAATTATATCATCTAGGACAAAAAATCGCAAGTCATTGCATTTATGCTTGATGAAATTTGTCCAAAACTAAATTCTAAAGCATTTTTACAAAATTAGCTCCGAATTGCATATCAAAATCTCGTACCAGTTGTTCAAATGAAAATTTTATTTTATTTTTTTTAAGATGGCTTTAACACCCGTTTAATTTAATTTCCCAAATCTCTATCGCATATTTTGTTGGCTGTGCTCGTCTAAATTGTAAAATACATAGTGAGAAACAAAATATTCCGGAATAACCTTTCCGTTCCACAATTTGTAATTCGATGGTCAAAAACGTGTACCCAGCCACATATTTTAACAAAGCTCCTAACCCTGACATCCCGCTGAATATTTATCGACGACTATAAGAAGAAATTTATACATCTGTTATTGTTATTTGTTGAACCATAGACAAGGTTATTGACTCGGTTTCCGTGTTCGAATTTTTTCCGCCGTATCGAGTTGTTTCCGATACTCTGAAATTAAAATTGTTTGGTAATGCCGCTGACCACAAAATAGATTGGTGTTTTTGTACGGTTGTGACACTTTTATATCCCCACATTCGCAACTTGTATAAACAAAGTACGTTTCGATATCGTCAAACGATTGTTGTGTACGAGAAATGTCCGCGCTTCACCATTTTTTGTAGTAAAAAGGAATTGAGTTAATTTTCGCGTTGCATTCGTCATTGAAAATAGCAAGTCGGTTGTCATTCATCAAATTCGGCTGCTGGCAAAGCGCCAGGACAGCTCGGGGAAAAGGATCAGAACATGGCATAAACATTTTTTAGAGCCAATACGTCTGAGTATATTTCGTGCACCGGAACTATTTCTAGATGATTCAGTTTCTAAGATTGTATAAATAGAGCGTGCAATACTTCAAAATAACTGGAATAGTAACTATCGTTTAGTCGTAATTGTCTCCTATTTGGAGTCCTTTATTTCAAAACTAATTCGCACAAACTTAAAATTTAAATAAACCGAACAAAATAAGAAAAAAAAAAGTGACTCATTTTCTAAAATGTCTGAAGATGTTTCACATAGAATGATGAAACGTTGGCTAATAATTAATGTAGTTACAGACAAATCAGTTTTTTTTTATTTCAACACCCTGTGATTTAGAAATGCATGCAGCATTTCTGGAGGTTCCTTAACGAGACATTTTGCCATTGTTTTGTGTTTTTCTGGTTACTTATTATTTTGGTAAAAATTTAAGTTGGCGTGTTTCTTAAATTTTGTTTTTACATTTTTGTACAGGTTAGTTGTAACTGTCACTTTGACAAGTAACTTTATATTCAGAGTTGCAAGTAGTTTTATTTGTGAATAAATACTTTGAAATATTATCGAATATTGATAAAAAGCACGTAAGGTAACAATTTATTAAATACTATCATTGATGAAAATGTTCTATCAAACTGACACTTTTTAAAAATTTTCAAAATGAAATAGGCTTAATTCTTAAAAATCTGAAGTTATTTTAACATAATCAAATACTGTTTTCTTATAAATTACACAAACGCAGAGGTGATTCTCAACTTCCTAAATTCGATTTTATCTTTATTTTGATATGATCTAGCTTTTGTATGCAACCAGATAATGATTATTATGAAAAATCCACTATTTTGTGTTGATTGAATACCATGTTCCAAACAATCCTATAATTTAAATGTAGATGTATCTTTTGTTAGAAGCAATGGATAGTAGCTTAAGTTAGGTTAGTTTAAGTAACCTAACCTAACATTTCCTTAACCTAGTCTAACCTAAGTTTCCTTGTAAGAAAAGCTGCCTCTACATTGAAATTATATGATTGTCTGGAAAATGTATTAAACTTAATACTTTTAGCTCCAAACAACTTCCGTTTCGTATATAAGGGATCAAAATTCCGACAAATAACGTTTAATTTTTCAATTTTCAAGAAAACCAGCATGCCGTTCTTATAATCACAAAATTTATAGTAAAATCTGCAACCGTACCATGGCTTTCAGATAGTTTAATTGATTTGTAAGCTCATTCGACAGGTGCGAACATCAATGCTCAAACGGACGAAACTCAGGAGACAGCCCTCACCTTGGCCTGTTGCGGGGGTTTCACTGAAGTAGCCGACATACTACTCAAGGGAGGCGCCGACATTGAACTCGGCGCCTCGACCCCCCTCATGGAGGCCGCCCAGGAGGGCCACCTAGACCTCGTACGTTTCCTCCTCGAGAACGGGGCCAACGTCCACGCCCAAACGCAAACGGGAGACACCGCCCTCACCTACGCCTGCGAGAACGGGCACACCGACGTCGCGGACCTCCTCCTGCAGTACGGCGCCGACCTGGAGCACGAGTCCGAAGGTGGCCGTACGCCCCTCATGAAAGCCTGCAGGGCGGGGCACATGTGCACCGTTCAGTTCCTCATCTCCAAGGGGGCCAACGTCAGGCGTCAGACTACCAATAACGACCACACTCCTCTCTCTCTGGCTTGCGCCGGGGGCCATCTGCCCGTCGTGGAGTTGTTGCTGAGCCACAATGCCGATCCCAATCACAAGTTGAAAGACAACTCTACGATGCTGATCGAGGCGGCCAAAGGGGGCCACACTAACGTCGTGCAGCTGTTGTTGGATTACCCGCACTCCATGCAGCCCATGATGCTGAACCAGCACCAACAAGGGGCTACGACGGCTACCAATTTGTCTATGCTTCCGGGGCAGGTTGGTAGCCGAGACTCACCCCTGCCCCCTGGAACCATGCCCCCCAACTTGCCCCCGCAACCCGTCAACTTCTTTCAGCCGCCTTCAGGTAAGTCAGGTTTATACTTCGAAGCGTCGGACGTATACAGTGTATTCAAAAACCGCGAGCAAAAGTTTAGGAAGTCAAAAATACAAATTTACATGCGTATTTCTGAAAAATTTGATCGATATATTTGATTTGAGGAATCGCCTTCAAAATATTTTCACATTTGCTGCATTTAAAAAAATTAAAGTCCGTAGAAATTTTACTTATTACCGAAAAATTACCCGTAGCTGTCCTGCAAGAAGTGTCCGACGCGGTGCGTATCGTCCAGCCGGAGGACCCCGCCAGCCCCTCGATAGACGTCAACTCGAAGCAGCAAGTCCAAGCGCAAGCGAACCGAACCCCCGAGCAACAGAAAATCTCGAGCAGCAGGAAATCCATCCTGCCGAAGAGCAGGTCGGCGGGGGCCGTCTTCGACGGCAACCTCACCTCGGCCGAGGCGCAGCAGGTGCGGACGCAGCCCCTCAACGATTTCGACGAGGAGGTGTTCTCCGCCAACGCCGCCATGGATTTTCTCAACAACAAGGACGAATCTAACAGTACCTTAATAGATTTCATTAAGAACCGCAAGAAACAGTATAACAGTTCCGACGAGGGCACCACTCAGAAGCAGCAGATTCTGGAGGAGCTGCACGTAAGTTGTCACGTTTTGCTCGGTATTCTGAACCTTGGGCACCAAACTCTCGGATGTCCAGGAATGAATTAACTTAACCTCGCACTAGTTTTTTGGAATGGGCCCGTGTACGATTTTTCGATTTTTGAAAATGAGTAGTCTTGATCGGTTTTGGGGTAATTGCCGCTTAAGAACATTTTTTTTTTGTCAAAATAATCGAAATTGTTCATTATTTGCTACACATATTGGAATATTACTTACACTGGACAAAAAAACTAGGCCAAATAAAAATACCCAGTATGGCAGCTGTAACAGTTGTTTTTTTTTTATGCATTTCACTTTCAATACGTCTGATATCACGTTTGCCCATGTCAAAATCATTTTGGAAACACAAGCTGTTAAATTTCTTTGTAGCTTCATCTAGAAACATTTACATACATGGAACATAAAAATTGTCATAAAAATACCCGGCGTGGCAGCTGTAATAGTGATTTTTTTATATACTTTCACAATGACAGGAACTTTAGTCCGTTTCTCAAACACGTCAACCAAATCTATCGTTTTCGGTCCTCTGTGAACGTTAAAAATGGACCACGGAGAAAGTTTTTTGTTGGACATCCGAAGTTTATAATTTTTTTTTTTTGTGTTAAACTCGCGTTAGAATCATCTCTACTTTAACTCTCCATACCTTGTTCACACCCTGTATGTACTCTTTAACATCTTTGTGCTGTCGAGAACAGTGGACGCTAGCTCCAAGGTACAGAATTACGATGGTTGTTTTTTTTGTAGCGCGTTGAACGTGAACTTCACGGGAAAACTCAGGCCCATAATCACGTATTTCAGTATGCCATTTCTCAAGAGCAGTGCCCCTCCACGGCCAGTACCGCACTGCCGCACATGCTGAACATCGACATCGCAATGCAACAACAGAAACAAGGTAAGGCCCGCGCCCGCCCACCCGCCGTCGAGAACCGAGCGGGGAGCGGAAGCGGTTTGTACCGTTCGTTTTCGTTTTTTAAGCGGAAGAAGCTCGTATAGATCTAGTTGTTTGTGTATATTGTACGATAACGTGACGATTTCTTTGCAAAAATTGGGTGTGGCGAGTATTTTTTATAAAACTTTTCAATTACGAGCTTCTTCTGGTGGACATTTCAGTTAAAAGAGAAATTTTAAAAAGTTCAAGGTCGTTTTCCATCTGAAACATTCGTAGTAGTTAGTTTTTTAGAACAATCGTCATTTATGGACTCCAGTACCAAAATAGTATTCAGTAGAGTCGTAAATAAATCAGATCACGATTTTTACCGCTAATTTGATAAAATAATGTACGTACGTGTTATTTGCATGGAAGTTGTAAAGTGTCGTTCATTTCGCATAGTGTTACAATATGTTGGGTTTGCACGCAATCGGTTTCCAGTTGAGGCGTGTCGGTGCTTGTCATAAGCATACAAGTTGAAGAAACGTCGATTATTTTCATTTTTTATTCCAATACGAGGGCAGAATTCGACCTGAATACATTCTTTAGTGTGAATAAAAAGCACCTATCTACCTATTGGATGTTATATTTATAAGAATATTTTAGTGTTTACCGAAATTGACAACTTCATAGCATTTATAATGAATGAACGCCTCATCACTGTTTATAATATTACTGATGATTCATTGCAACGTTTCAACCCTTAAAAGCAACCCTTAATGAGGAATTGACGAATTTTTACCTGCTTCAAAACACAACGTGTGTGTGTTTGTGTGTGTATTACGCCTCGGAAACTATCGGAAATCAAGCCATTTACACGATCCGACAATTTTCACTGAATAATACAATTCGTTTTTTCAAGATAACTTTTTAAATTTTTAATATTTTTCATCACTCCAAAAAGCAATTTGCAGGAAATTGCTACAAATCGACCTCTATAGTTGAAGGGTCGTGAACTCTTCGTTTTCGAAATTTTTAGGTTTTAAGGGCTCAAAGAAGGTGGTCCTTACACGCAAATGCAAACTAAAAAATGTAATATCTCGGTTAATTTTTGCCTACAGAAAAATTGAAAGAGAGCAAAAATATTATAAAAAAAGACCTTTAAGTTTGAACTCTTGCATTTTTCACTTATCTTGTTTAGTTTTTGAGTTATTTCGAAAAAAATGACATTTTTTCAAAATTTAAAGTTTTTTTTCATTATTTCAAACTTTTTTTTTAATTTAGGAATTCTAAACCAGTTAAACTTGCAGAGCCTATTATTAGTACCTAAATAAAGGCAACTGTACATGGATTACGCTTAGATTCTATTTTTATGGTTCAGCCATAGATTTTATTGTTGATTTTTTTCTCCGAAAAAATGAGATGACCATTTTTTTCAAAAAGCATTTTAAAGGTCCTTCCAAGCACTTTAAAAAAGGTTATATTCATTTTCTTCAAAAAATTAGTTCTTTCGCCATTATTTTACGGTAAAAGGTTCAATTTTACTTTCCGAATAATAAACAGTCACCTTTAGAGAGTGATAACTCTGTTATTATTACATCTACGGTAATCAACAAAAAATTTATCGATTCATTATTTCAAAAGCTTTATTTTTGCTTTATATGGATTTTTGGATAAAACGCAAGGTTTTCAAGTTATTTATCAAAAATGGTTGAAAAACATGCACTTTTTAGATGAAAAATCAACATTTTCAATCGCAAATAACTCGAAAAAGTTAATTTTTGAAAAAAACGTTATTTGCTTAGAATTCATACCTACCGATTTTTGAGATTAAAATGGGTGCCTTCATTGCCACCCTCGAGAAAGGGTGGCATTCACTCCCAGCGTGAAAACACACATCGGCACTACCTTTATGTGCGTTACGAACTTGTAAATGACGATTGTAATGTTTGCTCTATTTTTAATATTTTTAAATTTCTTGTACCTCTGAAATGGACCATGGTGTAATGGTTTTGAACTGTATCTGCATGTTTTTTTTTCTTTTCTTCGATTATACTTCTACAAAATCGTGATCAGTTTGAAAAAAAAAACTTTTAACTTACCACACCTTCAAAACAATTTTTATGGCCGAACTTTATTCAGTTTAGACTTGCATGCTCGTTGTTTCATTCAGTAGTTGGTACTTGGTTTTTGTGTGCATGCTACGAGATGGCATGCCGCTTCGATGCATGAAAAAGTCCCGTCTCGTCACTCCTACCGTCCCCAAATTGTAGCTAAGGTCTCTGATAGGCTGCTTATTATTGTCAGGGCTGGGTACAGGCATGCTGTCGGGTGGTACAATCTTTCCCGGACAAAATCTACAAGTCCACAATGCTTTCTACACAGGAGGCACGACCTGTCTACAGTCGCCCGCGACCAAACTAACGGTAACGGGGGACGCGACTACGGCTTACGCCCAACAGAGCCAAACGCAACAGCCGGCTTTCTATTTCGCCCCCCTGCCGACGTCCGTCGCCGTGTCTCTGTCCACTGCCACCAATAACGCTGCACCGACGGTAACCTCGGTGAATTCCGTCACCACGAACCAGCCCATCAAGTTTCAAAGCGTTACCTCCCATGCTGAAGTCAGTCAGGTCGGTATCGGTCGGGAATTCGAAGGTTCTGGGTTCCTAAATGTTTCTTTCTCACTTAGAATACAGCAATAAGTGATCGTCCCAAAGCAAAGCCAGTATCGAAGAAAGAGGGCAAGAACATCAGGAAGCAACAGCAGCAGCAAGCGACCCAACAGCAACTCCAACCTCAGACGCAGGCTTTCCAACCGAACCTGTACGGCCAGCAACCGACTCAAGTCTTCGGACAGCTACAGTTGCAGCAGTCCCAACAGTTGCAGGTGCAACCGCAACAGTTCCAACAAACGGATAACAAAACTATCACCCAGGAAATTCTGAACATGCCAGGTTGGTTGTGAAAGAGGAAGTCGCCGGTTATTAAATAATGAAACTAGATATCTGTTTAGGTTTGGACATTGACTCTCTAGATCAGAATCAGCTGGTTCTGAAGGAGGAAAATAACCAGGAGAACATTTTGACAGCTTCAATTTTGCAGCAGTTTCACAATACATCCATCCCTTCCATAAGGGCCACCTTTGTGGGATCCCCGGTAAGTATTTGATCCACTAGTTCGTTTTTCCAAAATGCTGTCATGGTGTGTCTCTATCCAGCAAAAGACAAGACTAGAACTGTACGATCATACTCAAGACGGTAACAAGGTTACCAAGTTGGAACTCACCGAAAAAGACTTCTCTTCCGTGGATGACGTTGTCCAAACCCTTGAGTCCTTCAACACCACCGATGTCAGCGAGCAGAGCCTCTCTCAACACAACCTACAGGTACAAATATCTCAGAATGACAACTTTACTCGTTCAAGGCCATTCGATTAGCCCCACATCGGGCGCCGAACGGTCTCGCATTGCAAAATATACTCAATTAATGTTTCTTTCGAGGTTCAGCCGTACCCCAGTGCATTGGACGAGTCAATGATAGCCTCCCTGACTGCGCAGCAAGACCTTCCCGCACAAACCGACCTGTCCAGGGTGGAGTACTTTGCGGTGCCGGCCAACGGCGCCCAGGTTCCGGTACACGCCCTCTACCCCTACGAATACCTGGGGGCCGGCTTGCAGAAGGATCAGCTTTTCCAGGCCGGGTTCCAGGCGGGCTACAGCCTCATGCAGCAGCAACTAGGTAGGTGGCCGTGTTTCGGTGACGATTTTTTTAATTGGTTTCTGGTTTGGTAGTTTGTATTACGGACCACTAGGCGTGTACAAATTTTAATAACGACGGGAACACCTAGTACTGTCGTTATTATGGTTCGTACGAGCTTCCGTCATCGCTAGTGTTCACTTTACCTCTCTAACCTACTTACAGCATGTCCGAATGCAAGCTCTAGCGACACTCTAACCACCACTACCGTCGTGCCGACCACAGTCGGCGCCGTGCCGGGAACGTCGACTCAACAATACATAACGCCCCAGCAGCAACCCGTCTGCACGCCCGTGCAGGCCCCCTGCAGTCACGTGGCTAGCGCAGCGCCGGTCCAACAGTCGCACCACTGCCAGCTGCCCTGCACGCAGCACCAGCAACTGCCCCAGACCCACCTGCAGCAACAGCAGCAGCAGCAACAACAACAGGCGACCCACCAGGTGCAGGCGGCCACTCAGACCCCGCAGACCACGCAGACGGTCGGCAACGACGCCAAGAAGGTCGTGAAGACGAACGGGGACGGCATCAAGTTCAAGAAGGGCAGGGTGCTGCGGCACCAGAACCAGGCGCAGCAGGGCAATAACTTCCAGCAGAACCAGAACTACCAGATCGATCATAATTCCGGTGAGTGGGTTTTTTCGTTTCGTTGGTTTGGCTAGTTGGTTGACTTCTTGTAAATGATCCTCATTAATCTTTGTTACTTAGAAATTGATTTAGGTCATCCCCGATTTTCATTCACTTGTAACACGTTATGCGAGGTGTAACTTTGAGTGGGGGGGGAGGCCACGTTGGCTTATGTTTTTGCCCGACTGGCACCCTGTTGTCATATCGCATCAGGAGAATCGATGTTATGTAGTTCACCTAACTAGATCAACGCCGGAGGTCATTGTTACTCAAATTCACAAACCAAACACAGTGCTTCAAAAAAAAATTTCAAATCTATTTTATAGTAGCTGCCAAGACAAATACATAGTTGAGTCTATGATTCTCATAGACATAAACATTTCCATTGTATGATTTATCAATAAAAAAAGAATGTGCAATTTGGTACATTTGAACTACTTTTCCAGAAGCTGCAAAGACATGGAAAATTGGTTCTCGTAAACTATTGCAACCTATGATTCATTAAATTCAGTGTGATTAGAGTGTACATTTGAACTACTTATCTCCGATAAATAATTACTATACTATTTGTCGACTCATTCCTATAACTAATTTCTGTAAAATTAAAAAATAATCATTTCAGATTAATTTTTTTGTATGTTTAAAAGATTTATTTATATAAAATATTTAACGTTTTAACAAATCTATTTTATAGTAGTAGGTGTTTTTGTAGTCTTTTAATGTGTATCGGAATTTGGGAGCTGCACTGTGTCGGCGTAGACAAGGATTCAGAGAAACACATTCTGTACCCATAAAAAAAAAACTGGCTCCCACTTCAAGTTACCCTCTGTATAAAACCGACTTTATAATAATACTAATTAATTCCTTCAAAATAAAATATTAGTCGAGGCTTTGTACTTTCATCGACATGTCTAAACGCTCCTCCTAACTCGCAATAAGCGCCTTATTTTCCCGAATTGAACACCACGAACTCCATTTTATTGCAGCAATCACCCAGTACAGCGGCGCCAACCAACAGCAATGCGCGAACACCGTCATTTCCCCGTGCATGGACGTAGATTCCGAAACGGAGAGCAACCACGATACCGCCCTCACTTTAGCCTGCGCTGGCGGCCACGAGGAACTCGTCGAACTGCTCATAAGCCGGGGCGCCGACATAGAGCATCGCGACAAGAAGGGTTTCACCCCCCTCATCCTAGCGGCCACTGCTGGCCACGAGAAAGTCGTCGAGATCCTACTGAACCACAACGCAGACATCGAGGCGCAATCTGAGAGAACAAAAGACACTCCCCTCAGCCTGGCCTGTTCCGGGGGCAGGTATGAGGTTGTCGAGCTCCTGCTGAACCGTAACGCCAACAAGGAACACAGGAACGTGTCCGACTACACTCCCTTAAGCCTGGCCGCTTCTGGTGGTTACGTGAACATCATCAAGCTACTTCTCAGTCACGGGGCGGAGATTAATTCCCGTACCGGATCCAAGCTGGGCATATCGCCGCTTATGTTGGCGGCGATGAACGGGCATACTGCCGCGGTCAAGCTGCTCTTGGATATGGGCAGCGACATTAACGCCCAGATCGAGACTAATAGGAATACAGCGCTTACTCTGGCCTGCTTTCAAGGGAGGCATGAGGTTGTTAGTCTTCTTCTTGATAGGAAGGCCAATGTGGAGCACCGAGCAAAGGTAAGCTGAGGAAAAATACTACATTTATCCCACTTCTGATCAGAAGTGGGATATTTGTAAGAACGGCATTAGATTTCGGATTTGTATGATTTTTCGTTACAGACTGGACTCACGCCGCTCATGGAAGCCGCCAGCGGCGGTTACGTAGATGTGGGACGGGTCCTCCTTGACAAAGGCGCCGACGTCAACGCCACCCCTGTTCCTTCTTCCCGAGACACGGCACTCACTATAGCCGCCGACAAAGGTCACGTCAGGTTCGTTGAACTCCTGCTCTGCCGTGGCGCCCAGGTTGAGGTTAAGAACAAGAAAGGCAACTCCCCGCTGTGGCTGGCCGCCAACGGAGGCCACCTGCCCGTCGTCGAACTCCTGTACAACGTTAACGCCGACATAGATTCCCAGGACAACCGCAAGGTGTCCTGTCTGATGGCCGCCTTCAGAAAGGGCCACGTCAAGGTGGTGAAGTGGATGGTGCACCACGTCACGCAGTTCCCCAGCGACCAGGAGATGATGAGGTATAATTCCACGGTGAGCGATAAGGAGCTGCTGGAGAAGTGCCACGAGTGCGTAAAGATCATCCGCGCGGCGAAGGAGACTCAGGCGGCCAAGGCGAACAAGAACGCCTCGATACTGCTGGAGGAGCTCGAATCGGAGAAGACGCGGGAGGAGTCCAAGAGATTGGCAGCGGCCAGGCGGCGGGAGAGAAAGAAGAAGAAGAAGCTGGAAAAGAAGGAGGAAAGGAGAAAGTTGTTGGAGGAGAACAAGAAGAACGAGAACTACGACGAGAAGCAGGATAAGAAGCAGCAAAGCATAGAGGAGGAGAAACCTGAGGAGGACGGTGAGTGCTTTGCTTTTAATTATTTGCGTTTTTTATTACGATCAACTTTTCTGTAAAATTTAAAAAATAATCATTTCAAATTAATTTTTTTGTAATTTTAAAAAATTTATGTAAAATATTTAACATTTTATGCAAAAAAAAAATGTACAAAACATATCTTAGTTTTTGCTAGTTTGTACATTAGAACTACTTTTCCAGCAGCTGCCAAGACAAATACATTGTTGAGACTATGATTCCCCTAGAAATAAACAATTCCATTTTATGATTCATCAATAAAAATTGAATGTGTAATTTGGTACATTTGAAATACTTTTCCAGAAGCTGCAGACGCAAAATTGATTCTCGTAAACTATTGCATCTTATGATTCATTGAATTCAGTGTGATTAGAGTGTACATTTGAACTACTTTTCTCTGATAAATAATTGCTGTACTATTTGTCGACCAATTTCTATAACTATTTTCTGTAAAATTTAAAAAATTATCATTTCAAATAAATTTTTTTGTGAGTTTAAAAGATTTATGTAAAATAATTAAAATTTCATGCAAAAAAAAGTACAAAACGTGGTGACTTAGTTTTTGGGAGTTTGTACAGTAGAACTACTTATCCAGCAGCTGCCAAGACAAATACATAGTTGAGTCTATGATTCCCATAGACATAAACAATTTCAATTTATGATTCATCGATAAAAATGGAATGTGTAATTCGGTACATTTGAACTACTTTTCCAGAAGCTGCAAAGACGTGGAAAATTGATTCTCGTAAACTATTGCAACTTATGATTCATTGAATTCAGTATGATTAGAGTGTACATTTGAACTACTTTTCTCTGATAAATAATTATACTATACTATTTGTCGACTCATTCCTGTAACTACTTTATCTTTACATAAAATCGCCGTATTTAATCTCAAATCTTAAAGAATCTGTTACAAAAAATGCTTTATTTCCTTTTATACTAACTGATAATGTTTCCACAGAAAATGTCCCGGAACCCAACCCTTCGATCCGAAACGGCGACTCGAACGACAAAGAAGAAGGGGACAGCGGAATAGACGCCAACAGTCAAGGCAGTTGCTCCAGCGCCGACCTCAAGTCCAAAGAGAAGCGCAAAGAAAAGAAGAAGAAGAAATCCAACAATCCCTCAAAGAACGGCGAGCCCCACAACCGCTCGAAGGCCGGCTCGAGCAAGGCGAATGACCTACAAGAGTCCCCCGACAAGGGCGGCAAGAACATGGACGGCAAGAGCGGCAAGCAGTGCTCGATGAACATAAGGAAGGGCCTCGTGTTTGAGGCGACAAAGTCCCCGGCGGAACGCGACGATTTCGAAGCTACAGGCAGCGACGTTTACGTTTCCTCTAGCGGTAAGAAGTCCAAGCAGAGTTATGACGATCCGCCCCCTCAGCAGTCGAAGAGTTCCACCAGCCCAAAGCAGTCTAATAAGAGGGAGGAGGGATGGAAGGAGGTGGTCAGGAAGTCCTCCGTTCAGACCGTTTCTTCCTCGGAATCTGGCGTTAAGAAGGTTTCCGTGCCGTCGAATGCCATTTCGCGGGTGATCGGTAGAGGTGGTAGCAACATTAATGCCATCAGGGGCGCCACTGGGGCCCATATAGAAGTTGAGAAGCAGAGTAAGGGGCAAGGAGAGAGAATCATCACTATCAAGTAAGTGTACAATTTTATTTTTTTTTACTTCGTTTAAGATGAAAATTTTTTTTTTGCTTCACGATTGTTGGTTTCTCTAAATTTTAAGTCGGTTTCATGGAAAAAAATTATTTTAAAAGATTTTTTTTTTAAATAATGGCATTTGTTTTGTTGAAATGATGAAATTTTTTTTTGTTTTTTTTGCTTCACGATTGTTGGTTTCTCTAAATTTCAGTCAGTTTTATGGAAAAAAATTATTTGGAAACTAAGAATTTTTTTAAATAATGGCAGTTTTGTTGAAATGATGAATTTTTTTTTTTTTTTGCTTCAGGATTGTTGGTTTCTCTAAATTTTAAGTCGGTTTTATCGAAAAAAATTATTTTAAAAGAGAATTTTTTTGTTTTTTTTGCTTCACGATTGTTGGTTTCTCTAAATTTTAAGTCGGTCTTATGGAAAAAAATTATTTTAAAAGAATTTTTTTTAAATAATAGCATGTTTTGTTGAAATTAAATTTTTTTTTTGCTTCACGATAGGTTTCTCTAAATTTTAAGTGTTTTATGGAAAAAAATTATTTTAAAAGAATTTTTTTTAAATAATGGCATTTGTTTTGTTGAAATGATGAAATTTTTTTTTTGTTTTATTTGCTTCACGATTGTTGGTTTCTCTAAATTTTAAGTCGGTTTTATCGAAAAAAATTATTTCAAAAGTAAGAATTTTTTTTAAATAATGGCATTTATTTTGTCGAAACTACATTGCAGGCCTTCTGCACATGTTCAATTGAGTCATATTCATTTTTACAAACAAATAATCGATAGTCGCCTGTCTTCCAATAATCTCAGACAATTTAATTCACTGTTGTTTAAACCTTTAAAAAATTTATTTACAACAAATGTAGGTGTCCTTTTTATAAAAAAAAGTATCGAAATTGGAAATTAAATTATTTTAAACTTTAAAAAATCAGTGCTACCATATATTTAGCGAATCAATTTACAATTCACTGTTACTTGGCGATTTTGACAAAAATTTTATTAATAGGGGGTCATCCGAGGCTACCAAACAGGCACACAGTCTCATAGCGACACTGATTAAAGACCCAGACGTGGACATCTTGTCGATGTTGCCAAAAACAAATAAAATCACGGCTTCGTCAACTACCCTGTGGGACAAGACACAGATAGGAGTAAGTATTATCGACGGTCTTATGAGGTTAACTTCCGTTTTACTATCGTGTCATTTTGAATTTTAGACTAAGAAAAACGCCGGAAAAATCGTAATGGCCACCCAGTCCACGGCCTTCTCATCAAACTCGCACCAAAAAGTAATCCAAACCGTCGCTCCATCCATAACGCAAGCCAGTCGTTTTTCCACAACTTCGACGGTGAAACTCCGCGGAACTCTCCCCGCGGCGACCGCCAGGGTAACCGCCCCGAGATTAGTCGCCCAAGCGGAAAAGAACGCAGCCGCTCAGGCTCAGTCCAACATAATACGCATGCCCATTTCCCACGCCTCTTCCACGTCAAGTAGACCCGCTGCCACCACCAAAGTAATTACTTCGTCGGTAAACCAGACGTTTGCCGCCAAACTGACGGAAACCTCCACCACCCAGTTGATCATAAACGCAAACCACGGCATAACTTCTAAGCCTAGATCGTTGGGATTGCCACAGTCCTCGGCCGGACCGATTTCCCCCCAAGCGCCGTCTCACTCCGTTAGCAACACTCAGTCGTCGCCCAACAGAAACGCCCGCCCCGCTCCCACCGCTTCAGCCCCACCCACCATGGGACACCTGCCGATCTTTGGCAACGCACCGCAACCGCATTCCGGCCAAGGAAACAACGCCATACCTGGCTCGGACAACACGGGTAGCATAAGGAGCTCCACGCCTAATCTGATTCAGAGCAGCGCAGTTCAACAAACCGTGGTCCAAGAAGAATCGGCCAACGTTCAGACCCCTTCAGAGTATTCCCTATTCAATAACGCGGATCACTGGAACAGGCGGGAGCAGGAGTATCAGAAGCCCGTTAATTTCGCCGCCGTTACCGGCGGGGGCAATTCTCAGTCCATGGTCCAGCATAAGTTCATAGATCAAGAACCGCCGCCGCAAGTGGACGCTTCTAAGGCGCCGGGATACAGGGGCGGTGCCGTTTGCTCCCCCGTTTCGTCCAAGACGAGCAGTAACAGCACCACGCCGCCGAATATATCCGTGAACAACACCTACCAGACCTACCAGGAGCAGGGTAAGAGCCAGAATAACCTGCCGCCGATCGGCAGCAGCGTCGTACACAACAGGCCGCCGGTATCGCAGAACAACCCGGACTACTTCGGCGAGCTGTTCAAGACCGGCTCGAGTAACATTCCCAACATGCTCAGCTTGAACAACGAGGGGCACCTGTTGCAATCCTTCAACCAGATCCAGAACCTGAACTTCTCGCAGCCGCAGCCGCAGGTTAACATCCAGCAGTCGGCCAGCATGTCCCGTTTGAACCCCAAGGCGCCGGAGTACTCCAGCTACAGCATGCAGAACAAGCCCGCCCCGCACATGTACAACGGCTACCAGATGAACAACCAGAACAGCATGTACATGTCGAAGCAGCAGTGCGGCATCGACGGCTTCCATCGTTCCAGCCTCGGGTCCGCCCAGAACCGTCTCTGGATGCAGATGCAGCAGCCGTCGTTCTCGCAGCAGTCGGAGCAGCTGATCACCGGCATAGCCGGCATGACGATCCACAACATCGCCAAGTTCACCGGGAACGAGGTGTTGGAGAACGGCGGCGAACTGGGGATCGTGAACAACTCGCCTAACATGTCGCCCAATTTGCCGCAGGCGCACAACTTGCACCCCGACAGCGTTTATAACATGGAGGACAGGAAGCCCCCGCAGCCCATCGGTACGGGGAGGAAGGCGTACAGCAACCCGATCGAGAATTGGAGGTTGAACGATAAGCCGGATAAGTGGTCGCTCGGCGGAAATAACGCCGACTTCTCCATACGCAATCCCCAGATGTACGGGGAGGACCTACCGCCGATGGACTACTCGGTAAGTACATTTGATTTTTTTTGTTCCCGTATGTTGTATCGAAATCGGAAATCATCCGCAACTCCACAAATGTTTATTTTTCAAAGCAACAAATATTTAAAAAATTATTTTATATTTCGTAATTTTTATTTTTCTAATTTTTTGATTTTTTTGTTCCCGTATGTCGTATCGAAATCGGAAATCATCCGCAACTCCACAAATGTTTATTTTTCAAAGCAACAAATATTTAAAAAATTATTTTATATTTCGTAATTTTTTTTTCCAATTTTTGTATTTTTTTGTTCCCGTATGTCGTATCGAAATCGGAAATCATCCGCAACTCCACAAATGTTTATTTTTCAAAGCAACAAATATTTAAAAAAATTATTTTATATTTCGTTATTTTTTTTTTCTAATTCTTATTTAATTCTCGTCAGTTTTAAAACATCCCATTTTTTAAACAAAAAAGTAAATTCTCGCTTCACGTATACGTCATTTATCTTTGGCGGAATTTTATTTCAATGTGAATATTCCCGTAGCGTCAGATGCCCGCATTGGATACGTCCCATTTCATCAACGGGCCTCCGTATTTCAATCACCAGCCTCCGCTGAATACAGTAAGGCATGATTTCATGCAGGATAACTTGAAGTTGGATCTTTCCTGGGACAACGCCGCAAGGCCAATACCGGAACTTCAAGACAAGCAGCATGTGAGTACCGTTAAATTCTGATATTTTACAGCGTTCCGTTAACCTAAAACCGAAATTTTGATCTCGACAAATTAAAATACTCGTTTGTTTGATAAGTACAGCTGTGAACAAGAAAAGGTTCTCCCACGTAAAACGTTAAGCAGAAATCTTAAGATAGTTCAGATTGCCCTGTCGTATATGTGTAGATGTTCATTTGTTTACATGATTTTCAAGACAAGAGTTGCGGTTTATTGTAAACAACTAGATATTCATTTGTTTACATGATTTTCAAGATGAGGGTTGCGGTTTACTGTAAGCAACTCGTAGATGTTCATTTGTTTACATGATTTTCAAGACAAGGGTTGTGGTTTACTGTAAACAACTCGTAGATGTTCATTTGTTTACATGATTTTCAAGACAAGGGTTGCGGTTTACTGTAAACAAGTCATACTCTGAAAATCATTCAATCGGTAAACATAGTTTGAATTTTGGGATTTTTTTTAAGAAAACAATACATTTTTATAGATTTTATTACAGTTTGTCTAAATATGAATTAATGCACAAATAAAAGACTTTCCCCCAATTTAACACAGATTTTCTATAAAATGGACTTACTTTGAAACACAAATAACTTTTTGGTATAAAGAAATTTGTAATTTACGATACTGCATGTTCAAAACCGGCAAATTACAAATTTTTTTACAGCAAAACGTAATTTGAATTTCACACTAATTCCATTTTATAGAAAATCTGCGTTAGAACGGAGGAAAGTCTGTTATTTGTGCATTCATTCATATTTAGACGAACTGTAATAAAATCTATAAAAATGGTCGAATAAAACGAACTCGAGGTCAATTTTGGAAAATTCAAAATGGCGGACCCAAATTTGGCGCGAATCTGTTATTTTTTGAAAATTTGGTTGGCCATCTTGAATTTTGCAAAATTGACCTCGGATACTAGCCGACTAAAACCCCGAACTTTAATGATCAGTGACCCCGAGAACCTCGTATACCAAATTTGGCGCAAATCTAATTTTTTGAAAATTTTGTCGGCCATCTTAAACTTTGCAAAATTGACCTCGGATACTAGCCGACTAAAATCCCAAACTCTAGTGATCAGCGACCCCGAGCAAAAAAAATTCTTTGTAGTTTTCCTATCTCTCGTGAATTTTTGCTATTTTTGACGTGTTTTTTGAGGTTAGAAAATTCCTGTGATGTGATAACTCAATTCTGACACCGGATTCGTGATCAGGAGGCAAAAATACTACGGATAACATATGTCGCATGAAAAGTACAGACAACTTTTGTTTTTTGTGTGGCCGTGGAAAACTTTTTCTTGTCCGCAGCTGTACGAGTATAAATAAAATCCGAAGCAAAAGATTTGCGAGGCTCAATAAACTGCTTTTTTGCTCATCGTCATCGTCTTTGCAGGTGTTTAATAAGAGGTAATGTTGTTTTCAGGGGTGGACCAACAAGTGGAATCAGTAATCATAATGAACACATGAACTATAAGCGTATTTTAATTAAGTCCAAAAAATCGTGCGAAAATTAGCTTCTCTCTTTGTGATTTTTGGAATACAAGTTTTTGCAGTAGAGTCTAGGTCTAGTTTTTTTGTTAATGGTATAAAGTATTTGATCGTATCGGCCCTTTATACAGGTCATGTTTCTGGCAAGTGTTTATATAGTCTTCACCTCTGCCCCTTTTGACGCATTTGGTGTATATAAAGAAAAAAAAAAAAATTATTCAGACCCATTTATTGTAGTTGATTGCATGTTGATTTTGTTTTATAACCGCTTATAGTTTAAAGACTATTTTATGATCGTTATTTTGTAGCAGGAGGAAATCTTCAATTGTGGAAAAACGGCCGCTGGGGGGTGGGGGCCCGCCCGCTCCCCCCTTCCCAGTCCGGGAGTTATAGACATAATAATTATAAAATATACTAAACATATGTAAAATGTAGTAGTTGCGCAAAAAAGGTTATGAGGGATTGGCGATTAAGGGACAAGTATATACTTGTGATTCTTTGTTCTCTAATCGAATATATATTTTCTTTCCTACATGTTTAAGTGCAGTGTTTGTTTGCCACTGATGAAATGTTGCGCCTGGCACGACAAGCACTTGTGGGGACAGGCCGTCTCTGCTAAATTGTAGGATTATTATTATACGGAATATTATGTAATATTTGCTTGTACATGAAGACTTAAATATATCTTTATGCACTGTACGAGCCGTTTAGTAATTTCCCCGAACACCCCGTCTTCATTTTTCCTCACACTCTCGACACGAACTTCGTCTTAAGGTAAGTACCATTTTTATTATACAGAGCGTTTGATTTATACGTAGATGGGCACGTAAAATTCTAAATAAATCCTAAAAGTTTTTAAACTGATTTTCTCAAAATTGCAGATCTAAAACTTCTATTCCAAATTAACGATGTTGTACACCCTTTTTTTGTGCAAAAAAGTGACCGAAATGTGCCAGAATATTTAATCGGAGGCAACTAGCAATCCATTATTATAGATTTTATTACACAGTTTGCCTAAATACGAGTAAATGCACAAATAACGGACTTTCCCCCATTTTAACGCAGATTTTCTACAAAATGGACTTGGTTTGAAATTCAAATTACTTTTTGTTGTAAAGATATTTGTAATTTGCATCATAAATTTCAAATTTCTTCACAACAAAAACTAATTTGAGTTTCAAACAAAGTCCATTTTGTAGAAAATCTGCATTAGAATGGAGGAAAGTCCGTTATATGTGCATTAATTTGTATTTAGACAAACTGTGTAATAAAATCTATAAAAATGTATTATTGGTTACCTATTCGCTATAGAGACCTCTTAAAGCACTGTGTTTAGTCTGTACATATATATTTTAAATCGCAAATGAATCACAGTAGGCGAGGGATTATGTGTTAAAAACAAATGACAATCACAATGAAAAGAATGTTTTACAATTTCTTTTTTTTTTTCATGTAACTTTATAATATAGAGAAGAATAGAGGGCTCTACCCTCTTCAGTTTATTTTCTTAAATTGCCTTATGAAAAATTAATTTTATTTTAACCTTATCGTAATTTTCATGGCCCATCGCTGGACAAGCTAGTATAACCTCAAACTACACACGCTAGCCACAAATTTAATTTGTATACAACTTTTTCCACATCACAGAAATTTAACAACGAAAAAACACGTTTTGTGGAATTAAAACTGAAACACCCTGTAAATTAAAATTAAAGCTTGTCAAAATTAAAAAAAAAATTGAATTAAAGACAGTAGATCAAAATCGAATAAGGCGTTTATTAATCTTAAAAATTGAATACACTTAACGATGGTTTTTCCTCTTTGTCATCCTTATGAAAGTTTCGGTATCAGGTTTCGGAGGTATAGGTGGCTTCGTCTCGGACGGCAACGGCGGAACTGGCGGAGCGTGTCTTGGTATACGGATATTCTGCAGCTCCAGTATCTGCAACATCACGTCCATTTCTACCAACTCGTCCAGTTCTCGTTGGTAGAAATCGCTCCGTTTGGTGCTCCCTGCGAAGATACGTGAAATTGAAAAGGTAAGTTTATTTCGTCACCTCGTAATACAAAAATTTAAACGAACGGACAACTTTCTAACCTATTAGTAAATTGAAGGCGTCCGTCCAATAGCATGCCGTTCTTTCGTCTTTCGCTATAAAATTCACTTGATTTTCTAAGTGGTTGACGATGATGGAAAATGCTTGCTGCGCAGACTTGCACCTGGAATTAAAGTCGTATTATCTGTATTTAAAACCGAGAGTATACACTTACAAGTTTGAATGTTTGCAGTTTTTGCCGATCACTACGTGCGTTATATCGCATATTTTAATTTTCTCCAGAAGATCCATTTCGTTTGTTTTTACGCTCTTGATGTCGTAAATATGTAGTTCCCTTTCGTTTTTGCTCAACTGTACGAACATATTCCCCGACGTTTTCTAAAACAACGAATTTTAAACAAAATCGTTACCCACCCGTCTCCGTCTTACTTTCTCTAGTACTTTCGGAAAGTGTGCTCCACGTTTAAGGAAGTTGATCCTGTTGTTATAAATATGTTCCTCGTTTTGTTTACCGAAATCGGTCTTCATCTGCTGTATACAAGGATGAGTCTTCAAAAGTATTTTCAACTCGTCCGCCCTTTCGTCCTAAAAAACGAACCGCTAGTTTTTATACAACTTAACTTTGTGTACCTACCTTCCACCGCTGCATCACAACGTCGAAAGTAATGTCCGTCATCTCGTTAGTGAGAGCTTTAAAATCGATGGGCCTCTTTTCCAGCACCATCTTTATTTGTTTCTCCAACGCGTTCATTACCTAAAATAGTTCGAATCGGTTAAGTGGAAACTGCGAAGCAGAGCGTTAAAACCTTGGGGTAATCGTCAATCGTCGAGACCTTCATCTCTCGTCTCGTTCTCGACAACAACCACATCGCTCTGGAAAATAATTCCAGGAAAAAGGGAGTTCTTGAAGAACAGTTGAAGACGATCGGTTGGTAGAATATGCTTCTGTTGTCGGGCTCCATGCCCAAGTGTAAGATCTTCGCCAACATTTTCACAATTCTGAAATTTTTTTAGATATAGAAAGCTCAAATGGTGTCAGATAACTCTGAGGCCGAAATATGGTAAATGGGCTAATTAAACTTCAATTCCAAATTCATGAATTGATATTTCGCCCAATTATATTTTGGCCTCACGATCATGTGGTAGAATTTGCGTTCTTAGTAATTTAAAAAAAAACCTTTGACTCGTGACGAATATTCCAGGTTCGTAGACTTTTTCTTCGACTTGCGACTGGTAAAAGACTTTATAATGATGTTTTTTGTAGTGCCCTGATAACAAAAAACGCGTTAAACATTATCCCGTTTCAAAAGCAATCTTTATACTTACTTAGAGCCTCTAACGTCAAGTAACTTATTCTATAATTATCGTAATCGTAAGCGATATCTGATCGTGAACCAGTAACACTAGACTTCCGTGAACTAGTATAGCTTTTGTCACTTAATATCGATGCTAGGGAAATCCTAAATAATAAAGTATTTGATGTCTTTTCGAATTGTAACACTGTAAAAAAATTATATTACCTCTCACTTTGACTACAATTTATATTTTCCATTGACGCGTAACTAATGGGGTAATTCATGTTATTTTCGTCAAAATCCATCAGTACCGTTAATCTCTTCACGTCCTCTTCGCAAAGTTCAAACTCTTCCCGTTGAAATAAATTACTGTCGTTGATATTGATTTCGTTATCCAACGCTTCTTTGTACATACTAAAAATTGTTAAAATCGAGACATTTCTTTTCTAACGCCGACACCTACCTTAACAAATAAGTTTGCAAGACGTACAACTCGTGTTCGGTGTTTTTCTCTAATCCACCAGGTACGATGATGTACCTGTAAATACTATCCCTGTTCTGCTTCAAGTTCATTTCCTTGATGAGTTGCTGTTTTTTAACGCCTTTGCAAAGCTTTATTATCGTATTTATCAGCAGGAGGATGCCGTACTGTAAACTCCTGTTGTTCTCGTTCCATATATAAGGCGTCAAATCCGTTATCGGAACTTCCTTGATTATCTAAAACGCTCGAAATGAATCGTCACAAGTTCAAAGCCGCCGGCTTACCTTTTCCTTCCATGGAACGAACACTTGGTTTTTCTGGACGAGTATCTTGTGCAAGATGGACAAAGCGTATTTTAATTGCTCGATACTGTTGTTGGAGTCTTTGATAATGCTAATGGTTTTGTTTAGGATGTTTTGCGAGGTATCTGCGATGTGCCCCTTTTGAAATAGGTGGCATATGGTGATCAACAGAGGAAGTACCTCGTTTTCTTTCAGTTGGTTCTCGATGAAAACGTTTATCAGGTATTTGTGGGTTTCAGATTGCACTGGAAAAAAGATATTTTGTGGTGGTGGTTCAATTCATGCGTTAACGGCTCGTGAAAATCGAAAGGGTCGTATTTCGATAACGATACGAGAGATCTCACCGTTGAATCTGAAATCTCGAAAAGAGTTGTTGCAAAATATAGTCGCTTTAATTTTCACGAGTCGTTACAGGTTATAAAATATATTACCTAATTTTTCGATGAAAATGGGGTCCACAGACAATTTAAGTAGGTCTTCGAATGATATAGTCTTTTCTAAGCTTTCGTCAGGGTGATCTATATGAGGCAGTATTCTTTGGTTAAGTAAATATTCAATTGAAAAGACTATTTTCAAACAATCGCTATGCTGGATGTCCTTGTATGTATTCTCGGAAATATAAGTGTTTATAAATGGATTTTCCTTTGTTTGGATCAACTTTAAGCCGTACACAGGCGACTCAGGCTGCAAATTTGTTGTTAGAAATATCGATTAAAAAATCAAATATATTCTTACCAATCCAGCTTTTTTGCATATGTCTCGAACGATCTCGCACAAAGTTTTACTCTTATCTAAATCGTACAAAAATTGCTCCTTGCTTTCATGTTTTTCCACTGAAATTTTCGCGATATTAGACATGGTTGCTCTAACACATAACTGCGTGCTATATTTCAGTTAATTGATTAAATTTAATAATTATTATGTTTCCTGTATACTGATAAAGCCATAGATAATGTTATCAATTACTCACAGCCATAGGTGTGGTATGCGGTTTGTAAAATATAAGCTGCAGATACGCATTTTGTAACTTAAAGTGCTTCATTGTAAATAAACTCACTTTGATTACGTAATTCGTAATCCAAGAAGATAAGAAATGATTTACTAGCATAAAAATTATCATAAGTAAATTTAAATTCGTATTGCACAAGTTATTTGAACTACTTGTTCCGTTGGTAGATCAACAACCGTACACGCGTGCGGTATAATTGGTTGCCGACAACAGATTGTGTTAATAGAACGTTACTTGTGAAAAGAACGCAACTAATGCAACAGTAATACCAACCTATCGAGATGTTTTCCATTTAAATTGCATTAATTAAAAAGTCACAAATGATGGCAGTTACCCAAAAATGGTCAATGTTGGAAGTGGGAAAAGTTGCTAGAAATATATAATAATTATTATAAAAGACTGATTCAAATAAAAAAAAATGATGGATCATTTAACCTTCGCTAACATAAATGGAAAGATCTCCATATTTAATTTTTTTTTTCTATTGTGGCAACATTGATGTAAATTAACCTCAATTTTTTAAAGTTTGTATTTATTTTGTATTCTGTAATTAGTACATTTTCACTAAAAACTGGGTAAATGAAATAACACGTAATTTAATTATGTTTTAAATGTATAGATTTTGACGAATATTTGTCGTTACTACTTTCCTATACCGAAAATGAAATTGGATAAGATTTGTCGAACCTGTTTATTGGAGAAGGCCAATTTAAGGCCCTTGTTCGAAGCCTGCGTAGCGAACATGCTTATGTCCTGTGCTTCTGTTCAGGTAAGAAAATGCTTTTTAGTACCTTTCGGTCACTTTTATTACTGTCGTAGGTGATGGCAGGAGATGGTTTACCTAACCAGATATGTACCCAGTGCTTGCAAAGCGTTAACAAAGCATATTCCTTCAAACAGTTGTGTGAAAAATCGGACGTTACCTTACGAAACTATTTAAACATAAACTTGCAGACGATTTCACTGCAAGCTGACACCATGATCAATCAAGTCAAGACTGATTTATTTAGTACTAGCGAGGTTCTACAACAGAGTTCCCTCTTTCAAGATATATTCAATGACGCGACGACACATTCCTTAGTCGAAACGTTCACAAATCAGAATGCCAGCACAGGTAAAGCACTAAAAGCCAAAGTTTATCCTATATTTATCCGAATGTTTTAGTTGTTTCTGATTTGGCGGAAACCATGCAGAGTTTACAGACGATCGCCGAACAGTGTTTGCCGGAATCCTGGGAAAGCGACGGGCAGATAGTGCCCTGCAATTCCCAAGAAGCTTCAGATAACTTCAATCTAGGGCCTTTCTATAAGTGCCAGTTTTGCGAAGATATGTTTAAAGGTAAAATCGTACATTACGTAGTGTGTCAATTGATTTATTATTTGTTTTAGACGAGTGGTCTCTCGCTGAACACATAAAAGGTCACACGGGCCAGAACAAGTACTTCTGTAATATTTGCAACAAGATTTGCTACAGCTCGAATGACTTAGATAAGCATATCGTCGAGCACACTTTTCTCGATTTGGACACTATTAAGAATAATTTGGAACCTCCGAGAATCAAGGAAGAGTTCAAAAATTTTATGTGCAATGTAAGTTTTTAAATATTTTTGTAATTTTAATGCCTGGAATATAATTTTGTTGTAGATTTGCGATAGGGGCTATACCGATTCAAGGTATTTAAAGAAACACTTGAAAGAGGTTCATTTCATCGATACCGGACCTATTATTGAATTAGAGAAGAAGCACGTGTGCAATTTATGCGGCAAGAGGTAATAAGGGCTATCACTACTACTATTAATAATTCGCTGAAAGATTTCCAACTTATATGTTTTAGATATAAACAAAACAAACTGCTTCTGATGCACATGAGAACGCACACCGGCGAACGGCCTTTAAGCTGCGACATCTGCGGCAGAACTTTCGCTTTGCCGAGTTCCCTGCACAAACACAGGAATATACACTGCGTGGAGAAAAAATTCGAGTGTTCCGTCTGCGGTAAAAAGTTTAATCAGTCTTCGAACTTGAATAATCACCTTCGCACGCATACAGGTAATAGCAATTCTTGTTTGTCGGGTACAACTTTAATTATACTGGTATTTCGTAGGGGAAAAGTCTCATATTTGCAGCATTTGCGGTAAAAGTTTCCTGACGAATAGCAGCCTCGACGTTCACGTGAGGATTCACACCGGAATAAAGCCGTATACGTGTAACTTCTGCCAGTTGTCGTTTACAAGTAAGTAACGTAGATAATTATTTTTTAGAAATATGGCCTCGGATTCATGTTTTCACACATTTTCAATACGTGACACATAAAACGTTACAGCGTAGCGTCAAAAGTGAAACGTTTGTTTCTAATTTTTATAATAAATTCTCTATTTAGGTGTGCAAATGTAAGGTTTGTACAAATGAGTTGCTTTTAGTGTTCTTTTTGCAGCCAGTACGCAAATGAAGAAGCACCGAATGATCCACACCGGAGAGAAACCTTATCCTTGCTGGCAGTGCGGTCGTTCGTTCCGCAGGAAAGAAACTAGGGATACCCACGTCCGATATCATACGGGGGAGAGACCGTTTTCATGTAATATTTGCTCGAAGAAGTATATCGCTGCTAGTCATCTAAGAGTAAGTTACTCCGTTTCAATTTTATTATTGTTATTATTTACATTATTGATTAGCGTTTATAGCGTAATAATTTTTATGGGTACATTTAATTTTTTTTAGGAACATATGAAGACGCACAGCGACGATAGGAAGTTCGAATGCATCGTTTGTCTGAAGAAGTTCTTTGACGGAAAGACCTTGAAGTCGCACATAATGACCCATACGGGACAGAAGCCTTACGCCTGTCAGTTCTGTGGCAAACAGTTTACTCAAAACGGCGGTTTACTCACACATGTTAAAAATTGTCACGGTCAATAAAATATAAAAGAATGATGTAATAGTTTCTTTTCGATGTCCCTTTCCTATTTATTGGTAAAAAAGATAGTTGATGCCAAATTTATCTTTAATGAAAATTTCGTCAAGATTTTATATATTTTGTGGATCATGTATCGGGATTGCAGAAGCTTGAAGAGGTGTTTGCCGCGTCTGATAAAAAAAAGTGTATTCTGGAAAGGTCGAAGAGATATTTTGGTCCTTAAAATAATGAAAAACGAATACTTTGGTAGACATTTATTTAATACGAAGGTACATTAAGATAACTAAACTAAAATATAATACTTTGTTAAACAAAAATATAAAAATTAAAATAAAATTTTGCTGGTCTTAGAAACAACATAACTCTTATTCCATTATTGAAACACATACAAACGAGGACCTGGCATAGTTTCAAACTACGTTTAACGTTTGTATATTAGAAAAAATATAAAATTGTTCGAATATAAATCTATCGCCCGCTTCTTCCACCTCGTTATAACGATTATGTGGGCGAAACGTTGCTCCTCTGCATCCTCTGCTGCTGCTCTCTCTTGCACTCCTCGGCCGTCTGTTCCAGCTGCTCCTTCAACTTCAGCAGCTCTCGTATCCTTTGATACACTGGATCCTGAAAAAAAGAGAGTAGATAAGAACTGGGTGTAAAACTTACAATTTTTTTTAAATCTAGACTCACCTGAGTCCTCATGCTGGGGTTCCACCTGCAGTAATAAGCCTTCCACAGCTTTATGTGTCGTATACTCGCGATAGGAACCAGAACCCTCTGCTGCAAGGTGTTCGCCCAATACAACGGATTCCTGTACAAATCCAGGTTGCTGTTGGTGAAGGACCAAAGGGAAACGGTCTGCTCTTTCAACTCTGAAAAGCAATATTAACCGTTAACGATTATGAAACTCAGTGAAACCGAACTTACTTTCTTGTATCCGTTCTCGCTCGCTATTGCACAGGAACGTTCCGAAGCGGCAGGAATACAGGTGGTCCAGGATGGTTATGAGGAAGTAATCGTTGAACTCGAAGGCGTTCGGGAACTGCTGGGTTATCTGCCAGACGCAGTCGACGAACTGCAGGAAAATCGGGGAGCGGTCGGCGTCCGAGTGGTGGTCGTCGCCGTGGCCAATACGCTAAAAATATGTTGACAGTGAATCGGAAACAGAAGTTTAACATTTAACGTCTTCTTTTTAGAGCTCCTAACGATCTTAATCTAATTCATTTTTATCCATTTTTGACGGTTATTAAAATATACAGGATGTAACGCTGAACGGGGGTCATCTTTACAAAGAAGCTGCATTTGACCTTAGAAACACGTTTCTCCCAAATTTCCTCAAGAAATCACAAATTTCCAGATATTTCCCATTGTCTACAGTTTCCCGTGCCGGAGCAATCCCGAATATGTAAATAAATACCCACCTGTTGGAATTTGTGTCCAAAAGAGACCCACTCCTTCTCGATCAGCACCTCGAAACCTTTTATCGTTCGATAATAAGGATCCAACATCAACATCGAAAGGGCTGTTAGTTGGGCGGTACGATCCCATCCGTCCGAACAGTGTACCAAAACAGAGGTCTTGTGGCTTTCAACCTAGAGAACAGATAGAATCATAGAATTTTAAATTTCCTCTCACAAGTACGATTAATTACTTTGTCGACGATCCGTACGGCTCCAGCCAAGATACACTTGATATGCTTCAACCAGTAAGTGGACTCTAACCCCGAGAGCCATTTCGTTTCGTCGATATTCGGGTAACACAACTCCTTAAGCTTTCGCAAAGACTCCCTCATCACGTGGATGTTGTGTATATCCAAGAAAACCAGCTCGGCGTGCTGGTAGGCGTCCTCCGATTCGTACCTAGAAACAAAACAAACGTTTACACCAGCAAATACAGTCGAGAGTGTGAAAACGCTCACCCTCCGCCTTTGGCTTTGTTTGCTATGGCGTTCGCACTCGGCCTAGCATCCATGATGAACATTTTATGGGACTGAGCATTGGCATCCATTATTAACTGAACGTAGTGCTCGTCCTCTCGGCATCTTTTGCCGCTCACCTAGAAACGATCGTTAAATAAGCCTGTAAACTCAACAAACAAAAAAAATTACTCCGACCAAAGGTTGCGAACATCTCGTTATGGTAGCTTGGGATTCCGGATGAATCCAGCTCAAAACCGGGATCCTACCTCTACTTCGATAATTAGCTACGATTTTTATGTCTTCGTCGGTAGCTTGGGCGGGGACAGCCCAGACCGCCGGATAGCTATCACAGACTTCGTACTGTTCGTTGATCTTCGAAATTTTCCACATGTCGTTATTAACACCCTAAAAAAAAAAAACAAAATTTAACATTTCGTATATAAAACAGTAATAAAACTTACCATTCTCTTTAATTCGGCTATTGGCTCATAGACCGCCCAACCGTTTTCCGGGAAAGTTTCAGAATAATCAAAAGCGAACAATTTCATTTTATGCGAAAGAGGGAAGGCGAAAGTCTGTAGCTTCTCGAAGACGTTTCGCCTCGAGTGATTCTCCTGCTTATGCGCAAACCTCAAATTACGCATATCTTTACAAAAAACTTCTATCCCGTAAGCATTTTCTCCTCTCGATGACGCTCCTCCTACCTTTTCAATTCTAGAAACCTAAAATGCAAGTATAAAATATTAACCACTTTAAACGAACAATTACTTGTGTACTTACCACACCTAAAGGAACTTCTACGACTAAAGGTGTATCTTTATCCCCAGCTTTAAAATATAGTTTATAATTAGTCACAGTTAAGACACCCCTTGCAGGACCGTGATACGGACAAAGATATGTCACATCTCTAGCCTGACCTGTAACTTTTTCTCCGGGAAGAACAGGGGGATCATCTGGACGACATGTAACACCGGTTTCACTTGAAGATGCCTGCAAACGAAAATGTTACTATTTAAAAAAAAAAGTAGACGATAAAAAAACTAACCTTTTTTCGTTCCAATGTAGACACTACATTTTCTGTGGACGTAGAACTCGAAGAACAGTAACTCTTACTAGGAGAAGTTTTACCCCAACTCGTCTAAAAATAAACTTGTTAATTACCCAGTTAGTCATAATTTTTCCTGCACTCACTGTGTCCTGTTTATTTAACAGATTCGATTTGGATTCGGCTCTGAAACCTTCTAGGGTAAGATTTTTACTGAAGGTTCCATTATCCATCTCCAGTAATTCTATGCTGCCAGTTTTTCTGTTCATTTTGCGGTGGTTAATTAATTTGAATCGAATTAAAACATAAATTACCGTTCCATGACACAAAATATGACACTGGCAGAAGGGTAGGGGGGCAAATGGGAGGCGGCAGGTGTTCAATTGAACTAAAATAACGTAGGTCAACCGTCGGTTGTTTTGAACTATATTTCATAGTATCAAATATCCACGCACCATTTGAACATTTAATACTTTTATGAAGTTAGAAATTAGACAGTAACAGTGTTGACAACACTCCGAAAAAATTATATTTTTTTCAGTAAAAGAGATTATTCTAAAAAATGGTAAATTTTTATATTTATATATAAAACTATTTTTGCTTACTGTGTGCCGTTTTAGCCGAAAACTAAGCAACTAGAAAAGTGCAAACATCCGAATAGTAGAAAGACCAAAGCCTTGGCGAAGCAAATAAAAAAGTAAGGTTATGATCTCCTCGTTTGAAGTTAGTACAGATTTTTTTTCAGACAAAGCAAACGAGACAAAAGTAAACTCGTGGGCAATATAAAGTTGAATCTTTTAGGAGAAAAAGTCTTATGGTTTCAACAAAACTTAGACCCGGAGTGTAAAAAATGCTCGCCTAGGGACGTGGAAGTTTTAGTTTCGAATTATTTGGCTAGATTCAACGAAGAATTGGAACAGATACGGTTGAAACATTCGATAGGAGACAGGAAAAACAGGCAACATGCAAGTAGGGAAGATATAATAAAGTTGACGGTGAAAAGGGAAATAGAGGAATACAATACGTGTGGTATAGGTAATTATTTTTATAAAATTTTGATTTATCCGACGTATTTTATATATTTTTCTAGAAATACCAAATATACTAGATCCTGTACAATTTGATTTATTAAAAACGTGGAACGGCGAACTAAGGTACTTACAGAATTTCAAACTGAGAAGATTCAGCAAGAAAATACTTGACGAAGAAGCGATATTAGGAAATAAAAAAATCTCGGTTAATAACAAAAAAATGTGCACTGATATTAGCGAAAATGTAGAGGAATGTCTTTAATAAAGAATATATATGATAAATATGTTTTTATTAATTAAAAAGACAGTTTAATTTTTTTATTAGAATATGTATAAACATTCTTAAAGTTAACTAATACAGAAGTTAGTGTTTATGGTGTTTAAACCTTAAAACCGCTTCTGGAAGGTACTCTAATAATAATTCAATATTATCGTCTGGTCGATTGGTGGGAATATACGGATATTTATCAATGTTCTCGTAACATTGCCTTCCCTCTTGGCAATAAATCGAAGTTAACTGAACCGAGGGTTTTTCTTGGGGAAACTTGGACCCTAAAAAGTGTCCTGTCATTTAAACATTGCTCCTGATCATTTAACAATATTAAAAATTTGATGTTTTTAGTCATTCCTTATACTTTTACGATTACTATTTTAATGGAAGCAAATTAATTTATATGGAGACAACTATTGTTTATTTTTTTAAAATCCGTCCCGATAACTGAATTTTTTAACCATTTTCTATGTAATTTTCACACCCTTCTCACAAACCGATAGACTGTAAACCAAAATAAATGTAATAAAATGAAGCGATCACAAAATCGGCCATTCACAAGAAAATAAAGTTTTTATTGAATCGCCCCGTAGAAATATACTCACCTATGGTAACCGTAACTAAACAGCAATAATCACCAACGCCGTACAGCAAAACAGTCTTATTGAAGGTCTCCGTGTCATACTCGACGATGTAGCGACTGCACGCCGCTGCCAGGCTCGCAATGTATATTTTCTTCATCTTGAAATGGTTTGCTACCAATTCTATACGACCGTCGATCATCTGGGCAACTTTCGACACATATTCGATCAGTGACAACTCTCTCTTGTATTCCGGGAGGAACAGGGCTTTGGAATTTCCCAACACCTGCTCTAACCTCGGCGATAACTGTAGGGTTGTGTTGGAATGGGTCCCGTCAAGTTTCAAGATGCATATTTTTAAATGGGCGTAGTCTTCGCCCGGATTGTTCCAGATCGTGTGATCATTTTCTCTATAAAAAAATAATTTGCGGTTTGCACAGAAAAACGATTTTAACTTACGGAGGTTGTATGTATTCGGGCAAAGACGAACAGTCGATTTTAAGTGATATCAGGAAATAAATACTTTTAACGTCTACACAAACTTCTACATTCTCCGAAGCTATGCCCTGTTCTTCGGTAACCAACATTTGATATTCTTCGGAGTATCGAGAGTATATATTATCTTGTATCAATTTTTCAATCTAAAATGTCCTAGTCAAATACGAGAAAACAAATAACTTCAAACGTACCTGTAACTTTTTATACAACGAAACAAACTCATTTAAAACCTGAGACAAGGCTTTAGGGTCTTTCAAGTTCCAATCCACCATTCCAGGGACGTTATTGGCAATCATTTCGTAGTCGGGATTATTTAAAAACTGATCATCGTTGAAGTCAAAATCAGGAGCGAAATAGAAGTTCTCGGGATCAAAGATGACCTCCCATTTCAGCTGCTTTCCTGCGTAAGGTATCTTTATCATAAAATGATAATTGCTCAGAATGTCTTCCTCGCTACTATATCTATTCGACAAAATGGAGATGTCTCGTAAACTTACAGAACCCAAACCTGAAACGGACAACTGTAGTAATTAGGTTTGATACGAGTACATTACTACCTATTTGACTTCTTAGACATAGCTCTTCGATATTTTTCCTCAAGCACGCAGGATAATTGCATAAAATGTTGTCTGTGTTATAATCAGTCATTTTCTTTGGTGTGTTGTGATTTATTTACTACTGTCGCAAATTTTCAATGACACTTGGAGATGAATCATTTGAATTGGTGTTACTTGATGGGACATTTGAACTACTCATATCCCGCGTTCCTTTCACTGGGTATAATGATCCGCACGCAATAGTTCCTTTCGTTTTGGGTTAGTTCCTCACCTCATGACGAAAATATTCTCCAGACCAGTTGGACTACCAACTATAGGAAAACTAAAAAATAGACAGTTGCTGTCTCGTCTAGGGGAATATTGGTGGTAAGCATGAAATATGAATAGCGCTTTTTTTAAAATTACTCAGTAGATTATTCTTGTATTTAACGATTTTATAATGTTAATTTAACCACCGTAATTTTTGTTTTAATCGATTTTGTTGAATTATATGAAGTAAAATTTTTCAGGGAAATATAAAGATAATGTACGAGAAATTTACCCGGGAGACATGAAAAAAAATTTGTAACTTACCTTTTTTTTTTCAATGACGGGAGATCTCAAAATAAGGTTTAAAAATTGTAATGATTTATATTTACATCTTTAAACAATCCTGTGAACAATGTATATGGACATTAAAAATAAATAAGGCAAAAAATACAATTTACAGTAAAACAGGCTGGAATTAATTTAAAATTATGTACAGGGTTTAAGGTAAAGTTGAAAAAAAAAATTATTATAAACAACTACCTAACTAAACTTACGCTTGCCAACCAAAGTATCTCCATTTCTATAAATATACTGCGTATGCGATTACTTTAAAAAAAAAAACATTCTGGATAATACTAACAATTATAAAATTATAATATTTGTAAATATCTCTTATGATATAATCTAGTAAAACTACCTTTAAATATGACTTAATAGATCCTTAAATACTTTAGTTTTAGCAAATTGCCCATTTTGTTTTTTTGTATGTCAATTCTGTGTACCCGGGGTGTCTGATAACAACTCACTAAAAATATAAAGTGTACAAACGAACAAGGCCCCCTCCCCCTCTCACGGAGTCAGCCTGAAGCTGAGATCCATACCCATGCTCTCCGAGAAGGCCGGTTTATCCGGGGACTGAGGTTGCTGCGGTTTATCACACTCTTCCAAGAATTTTATCACTTTCTCAGTGTCTTTTATGGCGCACACACTGGACGCCTCGGTCTAAAAGCAGGCCCTCGATTAATCGCAAGTAAAATGCACATTGTACAGAAAAAACAGTGAACGATTTTCTTTTTAAATGATTTCGTTCCAAAAATGACAAATTTGGTGACGCCGGATCATACTTGTGGTGTTCGCATCGAAAAATGTGTAAACGTTTTGTCACTGAATATTATTCTAGAATTTCGCTAAAATCCTATAAGGACGTTGAATAAGTTCTCGATGTTTTCCAACAGATGGCGTTATCAGAAATGCAGTGTATATTATTTCACCGAACTTTTTTTTCATAGTGTCAACACGTCAAATTTTGTGCTGAAAAAAAGAGTATATGCTGGGAATTCTACCACACCACTTTATTCAAAGGAAATTTGCGGATGAAGCACACAAAATTCTTGTAGAGACTTACGGCGATCGTGCTCTGTCGCAAACAACATGAAGAGATTGATTTACACGCTTCCAAAATAATCATTTCGTTGTGGAAGATAAAGAACGCTCTGGCGTACCGAAACAGTTTGAAAATGAAGAATTGGAGGCGTTACTGCATGAAGACTCATTTCAGACGCTTGCTGAAAATTCCGAATTACTGGAGTTGATCGCGAAACAGTTTCGCAAAGTTTGAAAGTATTAAGAATGATTTAAAAGCAAGGACATTGCGTCTCGTACGGGTTGAAGCGGAGAAACGTAGAACGGCATCTTTCACGTGTGAACAACTGGTTCAAAGGCAGAAAAGGAAAAATTTTTCGTATCGTATCGTAACTGGCGATTACGCTACGATAATCCTACAAGCCCGGCGAAGTGTCAACATCATCGGCAAAGCCGAATATCCATAGTTCCAAGCTTCTGCTCCGCATTTGGTGGGATTATCTGGATACAGTTTATTACGAGTTGTTCAAACGATCATGGCAGAACTCTACCGACTAAAATTGACGCGTTTGGGACGTGTCATGAAGGAAAATCCGATTGTTCCGATCGACGGCACTTGGTCTGGCTGAGCAGCACTTCCATTCTCACGAAGATGCCAAAAAATGGATCAACTCTTAGACAGCCGCAAAAGACGTGTCGTTTTACTGATGTGGACTTAAAATGCTGCCAGAAAAATGGGAAAAAGTAGCGGCTGGCGATGGACAATACTTTCGGTGACATATTTTTGCAAATTTTTTTAAATAACACGGAAAAACAGCGAGAACTTATTCAACATCGCATTATATAAATTTTTATTTACTAGAAATGCAGAGATAAGGATTTTAAGAGAAAAATTGTACGGGGCGTTTGGAAAATACTAAAAAAAAAAATTCAAGGAGCGATTCGACATAAAAATAATGATACAAATTCCGATGTCACTTTTTTTCAACTCGTTCAACTCTAACGGAGAGATAAAACCTTGAGATTTTGCAAAAATTGTAAGTAATTTTTTAGTCAAATTCACTTATTACTGGTAAGAAAGTGCATCTAAAGAAAAAGAAATTCAATTTCTAAAACTCTGTAGGACTTTCTGCGATTCTGTTAATATCGCAGTCGCAAACTAACGAAAAAATTCATATAAACATTTCGCAAAACATTTCGTTTTCAAGATACAGAATATTAAAGATTTCTAAAAAAATTTATATTGAAGTGACTTCGTTCAAAACTAATTTATAAATTCCCCCTTTTTTTTTACAACTTGAAAAAAAAAGACTAAGTATTTTCGTGAATTTTGAACACCCTGTATCTGAAAAAGAAAGTTCGTTGGCCACGCGCCCCGTATATTTTTTCATCCTGTACCAACGCACCTGAAAAACGACGGTTACTTACCGACGCCGTTAAATTCATGAAGTTAAAGAACTTTTTGAGCAGCTCCACCATGTCGGCAAAGTTGTTACCCTTCAAGAATTGCCTCACGAAATTCTGCCGATCCATATTCTCCATTATCAGGAATCCCACCAACATCACGATATACGACGCCAGAAACGTGAATTCCATATGGGTGCCCGCCTTCTGCAATACTGCAAGAAAAACGTCACGGACAACCAGAGAATTAAAAAACGAAAACTTTCTAAAAACCACTCACATTTAGCTACCGTTTCCTCGATAAACTCTTCGTTGGACTTCGGAACCGGCGCGTCCTCGCTGTCCTTCTCCCCATCCAGGATGGCGTTCGTCTTCTTCTCAGCTAGTTTGGCGCAACCCTCCCAGTGGTAGAATTGCGCTATTAAGGCCTCTACTGCGCTCTCTTCCCCTAAAATATAAAGTTCGTGTTCAACGAAAGACGCTTCCGGATAATCAAGACGGACTTACGAGAATATATACTTTCTAACTTGGAGGGAGCTTTCGCGTCCATCAGAAGTTTCTTGTTGGATTCCTGGTTCTGTATTAGATTGATCAACAACATCAGAACCTACGGTGAAGGAAACAATTCAATGGACACGAATTTGCCTTGAGTGCTTAAAGCACATCATTTAAGTGCTTGAGTACAACACACGTAAGTGCTTGAGTACAACACACATAAGTGCTTGAGTACAACACACGTAAGTGCTTGAATACGACAAATGTAAGTGATTGAGTACAAGACGTGAGTGCTTGAGTACAACACACGTAAGTGCTTGAGTGCAACACACATAAGTGCTTGAGTACAACACACGTAAGTGCTTGAATACGACAAATGTAAGTGCTTGAGTACAAGAGACATAAGTGCTTGAGTACAAGAGACTAAGTGCTTGAGTACAAGAGACGTAAGTGCTTGAGTACAAGACGTAAGTGCTTGTGTGCAACACACGTAAGTGCTTGAGTACAACACACGTAAGTGCTTGAGTATCAAACACTCGTTTTAATTTTTTTTTGATATTTTATCAATTTTCGTACTTACCAGAACTCCCAACTCGAATTTTTTCTGTTCGGGTATGTAATTAGGTACTTGTAGTAATAAGTGCAAACTAGTTTCAATGATCGCCGGCCTAGCCCCAATCAACTGACTTCCGATGGCTAAAAAAATATAACTTACGTATACGAGTACGTGAAACCTAGAAAACGGGACTTACATTGTTTGTTAAAGTGATGCGTGAGATTTATCAGCACCTTCAAAGTGACCAGAAGGGCCTCCCTTATTATCGTACCGGTGGAAGTTTTGTCCGTGATATCGGTAACCGGATAAAGGGGGATTTCTCCGTCGCACAATTTATACAGGTTCACCAACGTATCTAAGATAATGCCGTTGTCGTACTTTAAGATATACGATTGGTTCTCCTCGTTGTTGTGCGTCACCTAAAACATAATTAATTGTAAAACAGTCGAGCGATTAATGAAGGGCGCGTTCCGCTCACGTTTTCTAAGACACGCAGGCACCGGTCGACTTTCCGCAACTTGTCTAAAAGCGTATCGGTCCACGTCACGACGTAGTCGGACACCTGCCGACAGCATTCGTGGATGGTTTTCATTATATGCTCGAGACCGCCCAATTCCCTAAGTTCCTCTTTGAACCATTCCCCCGCTCTCTTAGAAGTTAAACTTAGGAGCGTCTCCATCGCCAGCTGCCCAACCTGAAAAAATAAAACGTTAAAAACGGGAAAGAAAACGTAAAACAACTTACAGTTATCGATTCCAAATTCAAATGCATGGCGTGTCCTTGGCTCTGAATCTCCGCGCAAAGCTCCCTGACTTTCTGCTTGTTCTTCTCCAGTTGAGCGGAACTGAGCCCGCAAACGTCCAACGCTTGTTGGTAACTAACGTCGGACTCCAGCAGGTTCAACATAAGTTCCAAACAGTCGCGGTCTAAGTCCATATTCAGCCTGTCTTGGCTTAGGACGAACATGACGGTAGCTGTGCACAAACCCAAACTCTAAAAAAGAATGTAATTATTCTCTTGGAAGTATAACGCGAATGATGAACGTGTACTTGGTCCTTTGTAGCGTCGTGAAGAGCTTTGAAGAACTTGGCGACAGTACCGTGCGCCCTAACGTGCATTCTAAATGCCGGTACCATGCACTTCGAGGCCAGAGTTATGGCCGATAGGCACCTGGTGCTTATCGGGTTGTTGTCTTGAAGAGCGTCTAGGATATATTCTACGTCGTCGTTGAATTCTTGGAATTCGCCGATTTCTTGGATCTGGTGCGCCTTTTTGACGTTCCGTACAACCGTATAGTACTGAAATTGTGCAGTTTTGGAATTATACAAATCAAAGAAAAAATTGGATAAGTTGCAAAATCTGACAAGGAAATGGAACAATCCTTCTTTGATGTAAAAATTTAGGTTTGTTTTTATCGGAGCAGGCAAAGGCTTAGCTTTTTTGTTTTTGTCAAAATGTCAAATTATCCACTTTTACAAAGAGTGCTTTGTAAAGAAAATTCTGACAGCACTTAAATTTTCAAGGACGTCAATGTTTAGAGAACAAACACTGTAATTTCAGTGAGAAGAAAAGCTGGATATGCTTCATTCATAGTTAATCAATAAGTTTGAAGTTAGTTTTGCTTTTTTTAAGTGAAAATTCATAGTTCTCTTGGCTTTAGCGTTAGCAAAACCTTGAATGAACTGTCAAAATTTTGATTGAAGTAACAGTGCTGTATTTTGTTTTCAAAGCACTCTTTGCACGAATAACTTTTTGATATTTTGACGAAAAGAAATGAGTGAACACAAAATAATTAAAAATATAAAAACAAAAACAAAAATTTTCAGACTTGTTTAGATAATGAACGAAAAAGAAAACAAATTTCTTTTCAATGCAATCAACAAATTGCGCAACTTTGTCTTAATTTGACTGACCTTGCATCTTTTAATACGAGTCAAGATCCTCATAGCAGACTCAAAAAGCGGGTAAACATTTTTGAAAAATAATAAAATAGTAATTTTTTTTATTTAAATAGAAATAGAATAATAGTTTAAAAACATACGATATAAAACACATAAATTAAAAATAAATTAAAACTATATTTTCACAATTTTAATTTTTTTTGATAATACAGACCTTAAATAAATAACAGTCGTCACAGTTTCACATAAATAAGACAAATAAATCAGAGTAAAATATCGTTTCTGTTTAACTATTATTATTTTTGTTGTACCAAAATAATTCCACACGACTAAGTAAAAGAGAAATTTTACTCACCCCTTTATTGGGTCTTGCACACTTAACACTAGTCACTTCTTGATCATCCATCTTTGTAGTGGTTCGTGTTAAAGAATCTTCCTTAAAACCAAACTCGTCATCGGCGGAAACATTATTAACCACCGCATTTTCGTTCTCCGTTTCACTAGTCTTATTAGCCTCGTCGGTCCACTTGTGCCTGTACAAGGCCCTACGTTTTTTACTGCCGTTATCGTCTACCATCGTACGACTCTTGAAGATACTCCCCTTCTTCTTCGATATGACCAACTTGACGGGCGGTGCCGATTCCGGGGGTTTTTCCATTGCGTTATACATTATTTCTTCTTTGTCATCGTTAGCTTGGTTAGCCATGTAACTGAGATCTGGTAAGATCTGTTTTACCTCCATTTCGGGAGCCGTACTATTCGAGTCAGTGTCTGTGCTCCAGTCTTCGTCTATAGGCAGGTCTTTGTGAGGTTCCGATTCAGGCTCCGGCTCCAGTTCGGGTTCCGGCTCGTGTTCGGGTTCCAATTCTGGCTGCTGTTGAGGCTCCTGCTCCGGTAGGGGGCTAAGAGCGTTGATTTCCTCAGGTTCGATTTCTTCTCCGTTTTGGTCCTCCTCCGCAACAGCTTCTTCCTCTTCCGGGACAGTCTCTTCCATCGGTAAATTCTCCTCTAATTCCATTTCTTTTTCATCAGTCTCTGCGTCGTTCAGTCCTTCCTGGTTGTTTTCCTCCACAACACTGTTTTCTGGTTCTGGAAACGTCACACTTTCGTCGCCCACGTCTTCCGTACTTGAGTTTTTAGGGCTATTTGGTCTGAGTAAATTATCGTACATGGCTTTACGTTCCAGTTCATATTTTTCGGCGGGGATGTACTGCGGGGACAGATCGCTCTCCGCTTTCGGGCTGGTGAACAGGGAGAACTCACCGGGAGTGTCCGCCGTAGCAGGAGAACTGCTGGGGTCTTGCTGCATGCTACGCCTGGCGGATCTGGTTATTCTACAGTTTGTGGGCCTCGACGTTTCTCTTAAAGCTCTCGGCGAGGTCACGTTCGAAGTGGAAGGGGTGCTGGAAGGAGTGGGAGTGCTTTCCGATTCGTCCGAGTCGTTCAACAGTTGCGACTTGCCCCTGCATATCCGTAATACTATCGGCGGTTTTGGAGGGTCGGTAGCTTTGGGCTTATTTACATTTGAACTTAGAACAGTCTTTTCTGGAGGGCTGCTTTTCGAGGAAAAGAATTTACGCGGAGAACTAGCCCTGGTAGTCCTGTCACTAGCCTCGTACGTGGTGCGGGGCTTTTTAGTGGGATTGGGGTAGTTGGGGGTTGGTTTTGAGGGGTATGTCGAGCTTAAATCAGGGGGTTCTGTGTTGCGACTTTTAAAGAACTTTTTGGGTTTGGGTGCAGCTTCTGCTGCGGGGGCTGCCGTTTCATTTTCGGAACGTGATAAACCTAGAAATGCATGTTATTAGCGAATGTAACTACCTCCTAAACTAATTGTACCAACCGTTTAATGTACGTATTGATGTGAATGAGGTTATGCCCCATTTTCCTACCGTTGCTGCCGATCGAGCAGCCGAAGGCCTGTTACTGTTCTCCTTAAATAAATTATCGAAATGGAAGCTAGAGTGGGTTCCACCGCCTCGTCGATATTTCCCATATCCTCGAGACATTTTCCTCAAATAATGCACATTTAAAAATAAGGTTGCTGTATATGAAATAACTTCATGTTACAAAACAATCATCTAAACATCTGTAAATACTGCAAACTGCTCCGTTTTAACCTATGAGGGCGATAAACATTGTTTTTGTAATTATTTTTGGTAAAAATTGATCCTACATCGCCATTTTTCAACAGTAAACGTTTCACGTATACATTTTATCCTAATTTTAGGGTCACTGAGATACTGTCGACCGCTGGAGAAACATCGTCAATGCGTTGTCATGATTTCTTTTTGCTGGAAAAACGTCGGTATTTTTTGAGAAAAATTGTTTTTCACTTGTCAAAAGGCGATTTTCACGTTCATAAACACGCTAGTAAATAACGCCTACGAAACGACTACGGCGAGTTGAGAGTTGCATATTGCAAAGCTACGGTTGATAATTCGATCTACGGTTTTCGTCACCAACGAAGAAAGAACACAAAATAAAATAAAACGTTTTCGAGTTCAACAAAAAGCAGCTGTAGGAACGTTAAAAATATATGTCTACATAAAATGGAACAAAATTTTTAAATAGCAAACAAAACAATTTTATTTTAACACTTGATGGTATTCTACTGCTATTCGGTTCGATTTATTTCGACCTTGAACCGTTACACCATTTTTTTTTGTTTCTAATGAACTAATGATGCTTTTCTGAACTGAACAATAAAAATAAACATTTGCAGTTTGAAATTTGAACCAAGCCAGTAGAACATTTCCTTTCTAGGCTGTTATTACATTACAGTTATTAATATAATTTTAGCATACGTACATAAAAGTCAATAATAGATTTTGCTTTATCCTTTTTTTAAGGTTTATGCTTTTAAAAACTGAATTGGGAATTGTTCTTTATTTTATTAGCAACATATTTTCAACTATTGTAAATATGATGTAGGTAATAATTATGTGACGTGGTAATGATAATTTTATTTCGGTGAAATACCTACCTAATACTTACTGATATTAGTGATATTTATCATCATGTAGTTGATTTTATATTAAAAAAGACATTGATAAATATTAAATATTAAATAAAGAAATTCTCTGGAATTAAATTTCTAGGAACTTATGAATTTTCGATTTTTCCCGTCATCCAAAAATTGACGTATACATAACCTAAAACAGTATTTTGATTTTGTGTAGAATTCAGAAGTGTAGCGATTAATCTATTTGTAATTTAAATAGATCATTTGTATTACAGCATTTGTGTCTACATACGCAGTTTTTGTGGACTTTGTGATAACAAGTCAAACATAAACAAAGTGAAACATGATTCCTTTAAGACTTTTTCTTTGTTCTGTTTTATTTAATTTTTTATTGACTGTGCACTGTTATAACAAGTATTCCAAAGATGCAAATGTGGAAAAGAATCAAAAGGAAAACCAGAACCCGGACTTTCGTCCTGTATCTCTTAAACATTTAGACAGGCCTTTCCGAATGGCGAAATTAAACCTGCTTTGGTCAAAAGCAGTGGTCGTAAGTATCGCAAATACCTCAAAAATTCCCAATCTAAATACCATCCTTTGCAGCGATTGTCCGAACCCAAGCTTAAATCACTATTCGGTGAACTCAAACTGCACGACAAAGAAGAAATAACTTGGAAACATTTACGGGCGGAAGGAAAGGACAAGGACGGTCTAAAGGAAGCGGATCTACGTAAAAAACTAATAGCCATCATGGGTAATTATAATCTACTAGACCAAGTCGATGACGTGTCTGATCCGGACAAAGCAAGGCCTTTCAAAGCACTAAACGAGGCATCTGACAAGCACATAAATAAAAGCTTGTTCAAGGATAAAAAGCTAAACAAACTGTGGGAGAAAGCAGAAACGGCCGGTTTTACTCAAGAGGAACTGCTTGCGCTCAAGGAAGAGTTCGGACACCACCAGGATAAAATCGATCAGTATTATTATTTGCTGCATGATGTGAAAGATAATCCGGAGGATGCAGAAGGAAGTAAGTATATTTTTTTATGGAAGTGTTTACATTTAAAAGAAAACTATTCTTAGATTCGATAGATGACGCTTTGGACAAGTACAACAAAATCGACCTCGTAGAAGAGAAAGACCCCAACAAAGACTACCTGGACAAAGTGAACCTCCTGCGTGAGAAACACAAAGAAATCCGCGACGGTTACGACCACCTGTACCTTTTGTCCGCGAAGGGGCCCGCCAGTAAGGAGTTCGTCGAACCGAAAGTGCAAGGTTTATGGAAAATAGCCCTGGAAAGTAATTTCACTCCAAGCGAGCTGGAATCTTTGAGGGTGGAACTGCTTCATTACGAGAACCGTTTGCTCAAGCTGCGTCACTTGCAAGCCGAACACGCTTTGCACGAGGAAAAGTACAAGGACAAACAGAAAATGAATATTGCCGGCGGTAAATCCGATTCGGCCACGTTGATGCACGATACTATTAAGAAACAAGCCAGGAAGGTGGAGAAAATCCATTTGGACATCGAAACTAGGATTATGCAAAAGCATATCGAATTGTAATTCTCATAGAGGCCAAAAAATCTCAAATTTAAATGTAGTGTTACGATGTAGTATAAATGCATGCGAGTTGAATGTTTTGATTTTTTTGTTGATGGAAGGTTAACACTGCTTATTTTTAATATTTGTAAATAAATTTTATTTAATTAACAAAAACTGGTATTTATTAATTCCCACCAATTTTCTTGCAAAATTTGTGGTTTATTCGATATTCCGAACAGTTGTGTTCATTTTATTAAAGAAAATTATAAATACACATAGCCATTAACAAAATAAAAAACAAGTTGTCATAAAAACACTTGACGATCGATCGCCTGCCATCAAAGTAGGCCTTGAAAAAAATGTGACATGATTGAAACCATTAATGCGTTGTTAATTTTTTAAAATTGGACCAAATACTGTGGAGATCTAGCTAGACCTGCTGCTTTTTTTCCCTATTAAAAGAGATGTGGTAACACTTATTTAGAGAAACTTCTGAGAAAAAAGTAGTGGGCTTAGGATCTATTAAAAAAATGTTTCTCATTTGTTTTTTATTACACCTTTAATTTGGGACACGCTGTAGAATATATTAATTTTATAGGTATCAACTGAAACAACAACTCGATTTAAAACGTTTATATATTAATTTTGATTTAAAAATATTTGAATATAAATATCACATATCTAATTAAATAATTGCAAAATTACTGACTGGAGAAGCTCGCATCCTCGGTTTTGTAAATATCTTTGAATTCCTTAATAATCGCAAAAGTGGTTCCTTTCATGTTCTGAACGACATGCGATTTTATCTGAGATAGAGGATAGGAATTGTCTTCTTCAAAGTTGGCTAAAATAGACTGGTACATGCCGTTCATATGGTTTTTAATGTTATCGCTGAAAGTGTTTATGTTTTGTTCCCTTTCCTCAATGCGCTTCTGTTTCTCCGATTCGGTGTGAAGGAAGTGTTCTTCAAAGTCTTTCAGTTTCAGTTGCAGGTTTGTTACCGTATCGTTTAAGGTGTCGACAGTCTGTTGAAGGTTTTTGTTATCTTTATTTTCTTCATAAAATTCCTCAAAATCTTTCAGTTTTAACGTTTGTATCTCGACAGTTTTTTTATGCTGTTCAATATCACTTTTGTATTTTTCTAATTCTGACTCTAGTTTTTCATAATTTGAATTCTTTTCTTCGGCCCGTTTTAAATTTTCTTTCAAGTCCTCGATTTGTTTATTCAAATTCTCTATCACAATTTTATCGCTCTGACTTTCAGCAGTCTTCTCTAATTTCTTACATTTTTTCTGCAAGTCGTCGTACATTTGCTCGTACCTTTCCAATTCCGTTAGAAGATTTTCCGATCTTAATTCTAGAGTTTTTATTTTAGACTTAAGATTACCGTCATCAATTTTAATGTCACCTTTATTGCTTATATTCAAAACGCTATCTAATTTAGAGGAAATTTGCGCCAAATTCACCTTTAATTCCATATTCTGTGTCATCAGAAACTGCTGAAAACCGTCATATGGTAGAGGCTGATTCATCAAAACTGGGGTAAACATTTGCGGTTGATAAGCAGTAACTACGTTTTGCGGATATGAGCCCGCCATATTCGATTGAGGACGACTTGCATTACTGCATTGTGTAGGGATTACTTGCGTATCTAAATAATTGTTTTGAAGCAATACCTCTTCTTTAGAAGCATGTTTTTCTAACGGAACGGCCCTTTTAAATTTTCTAGGAAGAACTTTATGGTCACTTTTAGAGTCGTCTAACTCAGAATCGGACAAGTCGGTACTTGCGTTCTTCAAAATATCCTGTGGTAATATCTGTTGACCCATTTTCGCCATTCTAGATAATATATTTGCTCTTTTCCGAGAACTCGAACTGTCAGAATTTGTTTCTTCTGCATCTTTATCTGAAGTCAGCGACAGCCTTGGTGAAACTTCTGGTTTCGGAAGCACCATGCTTTCTCTGAGGAATGTATCAGGTTTTGATACACTCTCATTGCTTACTTTTGTTTCAACGGAAGATGTGTCAATATTGATGATGATTTCAGACCCACAATTTTTTATTTCTTTACAGAATTCGTTTTGGTCATCGCTACTATTGAATTTCACCAACCAATTTTGGTTATCATTGTCATAAAACGAAGAAAACCAGTCTTTCTGGTTGTAGAACTTAAAGCTGCTGTTAAGGTTTCTTCTCGCTATAATATTATTCTTCTCTTTGTAACTTATAACTTCAAATATGTTTAAATCTGTTGACCCTATTATTGCTAAACCATGTTTCCCCAACGACTTATAATCTGTATTTTCTCTAAAACCAAACTAATTAGCAAATATCTGAAGCAAAAGGTCCAGTTATCTTACAACTTCCATAGAGATACAACTTTTGCTAGGATTACCGAAGTATGCTTTTTACTCTTTGACGATTCATCTAAGTCACTTTTACTTGCCTTTGGCTGTTTTGGGGCTGTATATTTTAAATCACCACTCGAATCGTTTGAGAGCATAGAACCATCAAACAATGAAGCCAACTTGGAACTGGAATTTGATAGTATTTACAAAAAGCTTTGACATTTATGTGTACATTTTACCTCCCAGATGGTACGAAATCATAGTCGTCCGAACTTTCAAACATTTTTGTAAAAAATCAGGACGTAGTTAAGGAAATAATTGACTAAAAACATTCCTAACCTCAAATAATTATTTTGACTTGACATTTAAATGACATCACATGACAACACAAACATCTCTTCTTCTTCTTCAAAATATATTTATTGGTTCACTACTTACAGGGGCTTTCAGGAAAGTAAACTGCATTAGATTACAATATATAATTTATTTAAATTACCTTATAATTAACAAAATATTCACTATAAACTAAAATCCTGCCTGTATCTTAACGACTGCATATTTAAAGGGTTACACATGCTGTTAGGGGGTATGCCAGAATAATTAAAAGGTGAATTTGAAAGAAAACTGCATGTTTGACTGGACAGATTATTAAAATTGTTTGTGTACAATTCGTGTTGGTTATATTGAGTGTAGGAGCATTTCCAAGGCACCACATATTGTATGTCCGCGGCAGAATGTGCAGCTCCCGCATTTTGGTAAGGGAACAACGGTTTTTCGTTTGTATCCGCTTTTAGAGGAACAGGAGACGTTTTACATGGTAACTTCGTCACAGGGTTCTGTTGCAAACTCAAACTTCGTTCGTTTCGTCGGAATTTGGCTCTTCGATTTTGAAACCACACCTTAAACAAAATATTGAGTTAAGGAGTGGAATGAAATATTTGTTTTTTTTTTAAGTATTACTTGTACTCTCGCTTCGCTTAGGCTGACTTTCGAAGCAAGGTCTTCTCTGACGAAAGCGTCTGGGTAATGAGTTTTTTCAAAAACTTTTTCCAGAGCTGCCAACTGAGCGGTGGTGAAAGTTGTCCTGTTTCTTCTCGGTTTCTTATGTTTCTCGTCGTTTGAAATGTCTAAAACATAAATAAGTGTGGTGTATTACACATTTCTGAAATTATAAAGCACAATATTTTCTAATGCATATAAAAAAATTAATAAAATTGAGTCAAATTTTTTTTGATCAAAATAGTAACGCCTTTGTTAGCGATTTCGTTATCATGATTTGAAGTTAAACACTAAAGTCGACAAGGCGACTGACTATTATTTGATCGTGATTAGAAATAATCATAGTACAAAAGACACTAACACTACAATTAGAATTTTTTTCTGGAAATTAACAAATTTGGACTTCTCATTATCTAATATAAATTTGAAAACGACGAAGATACATTAAATAAAAGTAATCTATAAGTTTGATTTTCGACTTGTTGATTGGGTTCTGTGAATTAAATTGTATATTCTGCAAAATATGAATTGGACAGGCAATAATAATGTTAATGGCAATGCTCGATTTGAGGATATAGATTGCAATACCTCCCGGATCTTAATCTCGTATTAGAAAAACAGAGAAAGTTGCATTTTCATGTCAATATACATATTTGCCATGATTTCGAGTTTCTCTCAAGTGACGTCACCACATGCGCGTAGGCTAGAACGATAGTAAATATGGTATACTTACTATCGTTCTAACTGTAATGAACCGTATTTAACACGTCTCTACTAAAATAACATCAAACACACACTAAAATAAGTTTATATGTTGCCAGGAATTTTATATATGAAACATATTCATAAAAAATATAATATTTCTTAAAAGATCAAACACAAAACGCCGTACTGTAAGTAGCACAAGTAGTGACATGTCTGCATTGCGTGTTATGTGACAATATGTTTGATTTTTGGCGACTTTAACAGGTGTATCATAACATCACACATAAAATACTTAAAATTAGCAGTTTAATTTGATAAATCCATGTTGACAACCAGTCAAACTTAGGAATGATAATTCTATTCCGAAGGAGATCCGTTCATCCTTATTTATACTAGGAAGAGTGATAAGAATTTTATAGGAAAGGTGCATTAAGTATTTTGAATCAAAAGTTTAACTGGTTGTCTAACTTCATTGCAAACAAGATTATCCCACCCGTGGTAACATCAGTAATTTGAAACCAAAGCGACTTCAAAACGAGTAAGTGCAAATACGGTAGTTATTAACTGATTTATACATTAAAAATTCTCATCGGGGCAAAAAAGTATCCCAGAACTCTCCACGAGATCACGATTTCCGTTTACGACAACTAGACCGTGCATTTTTCTCGATTCCCGCAAACAAACACGCCATTCATCAGTTGCCGTGCCTCCTTTGATCTCTCGTGTCATTCCGATCGGGCCGGTACGGATGGTGGAATGGACAGACAGTCGTACACCGGCTCCCGTTTTCTGCGGGCACCACACACTACACGGCCCAAACCGTATGAAATAAATTAGTAAATGTGCCAACACGCTATTCGTAGAGGTCTTTTAATATCTCATGAGCCGCGAAATGCGCGAAAGGCGTGGCGTATCCCCATAATTCTTCTAATAAGCACGTTGTGAAAACATTTACTCGTAATTAGACCATGTGCATCATTACAAGTAGACATGAACTAAGGCGCTCGGGCATCAATAAAGTCAACTGGCGAACTTTCGTTATATATATTTTTATTGTTTAAATTAAAATAATAAAGAATAGGGCATTTTATTATGATATTTGTAATCGGATCAAAGGCTTGTTTACGCTAGAGCTCGAGACTGTGAATAATAGGTGTAATGTTTTTAGGACGTACAATAATTTAGGCGACGGTCGGAATTATGTTTCTGCGCATATGAAGGTCAAAGCTCATAAGATTTTAAAACATCTCTACCACGCTAAGATCAATTGTTGCAGAAACAGATGGCAGTAGCGGCGATTGCGCAGATAAAAAACGAAACAAAAATATTGTTCGTAATATTACAAGGAAATATTAACACGGAAACGAGCCGTACCGTTTTCTCAGTTTCCATTGCCCGGTTAATACTGAAACGCCGATTTCCATTCATTACCACGCCAAGCCATACCGTGCGGTTAAAACTGTCTGATGTATGGGTTCCTTTAATGGCATGATGGATCGCTTTTAAAACGGCTGCGTTTAAATTCTGTGCAACATGTGTACGCTCGGGTTGAGCAGAAATAGAGCAGAGGCTTGTTTCAGAGCAGTCGGTCGGCAAATTCGGTTGCAAATAGGCAGGGTCGTACTCAGGAAATAACTATGAAACGCTGTTACTGACATCACTGCTATCTGGTTATTGTATATTTTGGAATTTGTTTGATTTAGCTTAATATTCCTTTAAAATTAAGTAAAAAATACGGAAGATAATAACAGAACAAACGTCTTACGGTGATGGCCCATTAGGATATTTCGGAGACTATTTAGATTTCAATTTTGAAAATTTAGGCGCTAGGGGTTTCGGGGGTGCTCTCTTTAAATAAAATAATGCCATTGTTGTAGCACTTCCGGTTATCCGGTATAACCGGAATAGAAATTTTTATTTTAAAATGTGTATTAGGACATTATTTGAGGTTATAAACAAATTTGTTTTATAAAAGTGTTATGAAAAATAATAAATAATGGTACTTCTCTCTTGAGTATTTATGCGTTTTTTTAATTTATGAGCACCCTGTATATCTAATCATTCTAATCTAAGATGTTTGTATGACAGTCTCATTTTTTCGAGGGGCAGAACTTTTTATAAAGAGTGACATTTTTCGATAAAGTCAAAAACAAATGAGTTTCTCTTCTTGTCAACTCCATCCGTGGACACACTGTATATATACATTATTAACAAACTTTATTGTACTTAAATTCACAAGTTTTTACTAAATTATTTTATTAAAAAAGTAAAAAAAAATAAAAATATTTTTTTTTGCTTTCTTTAAAATTGTTCATTAACGATGTTTTGCATAAAATTTTCCTTTTAAATTTTTTAAATAAGCCATTTCAATGAGAAATTCAATTCTCTACACAATTTTTCCTATGAGCTACCGAAATTTTGCTTCGTTTTCGAGCTACAATTAAAAAACTGAAAGGGGTGCATTTTCACCCCTATCTTCAATTTCCACCCTCTAATTTAGTAGCACTCCGCGGTTATTTCATGTAAAATGACCCTTTGAACGATTCATGCAATAAAATTGTTTGAACGTCATGTTATAGTTCCTTTTAACCCTGTTTTTTTTTGGATATATTCAATAGTCTATTATGGTGTCCACGAGAATTACGAATTACAATACAATGCATATTTTATAAAAACTTTGGCAGATGCAAGCGTTTCGAAAATTTTTTAAATTTTTCTTCGTTCTGGAAGCTTTCATTTGCTTTTAAGTAATGAGGGAATATATTTAAAAAAAAACAATATTTTCTTTCACTGGGATGCTATTTTTAGTAAACTGCAAGTACAATAATGAGCAAATAATTATCCAAACAATGAAATGTAAAGCAACCAAAATTTCAAATTATAATATTCTTTTTCCCTTCAACTGCATTTCAAATATCATAAAATTATCTGATAATCATTTGTTAGTTATTTGAAATTATTTATGTTTGCTATCCTTTAAAAACTGCCACAACATTAAAAATTACAGAAAGATTCTACGAAAACCAACTGAAATTATTTTATAAATTGTTCTGTTTCTGTTGCAAAACACCAAACCATAGAAATTCAGCTAATAATTCTGATTCTATTTCTAAGTGAATGTCCATGGATATAAAATATAACTTAAAAATACTCGATATTTGTAGAACACTGAATGACTGTACCGATATTTGTCTTTCGAGGGATATATGATGATATTTTTAATGTAAGATTTTTGAGAATGGAAGAAAACCCCAAATATCTGAGAAAATCGAAACTGCATCCCCTACAATACCTATATCGGTGAATAGAGAATTTGATTTTTTATAATATAGTGCAAAACAGTACAGCGTGTTCCATTTGAATTTTTGTCGGTTTTAAGTTATCAAAATATAACGTAAAAAATAGGATACTTAGTATGATTTTCTTCAGGTAATTTTGATAGTGGAAGGTAGTGCATCGTATGTTCTTTGTCTGTTCCGAAAAACAAGTGAAAACTTCAAGAACAAAGAAAGATATAAGGAATTTTCGAAACGCTTGCATCTGTCAAAACTTAGAAAATGTCGATTATCTCGAAAATGGTTAGATTTAGGTACAGGAAAGCTTCAATATTTTTTATTTATCTTGACTCATCGAAATGCCATCTCGTCAAATACCAAATATCTCACGATAATGACGAATTCTAAGCTGCAATTGTTTGCGTCCATCGAAGTCATATACTCGATTGTGTATTTACCTTTAGATCTGTCAGAAAAAACGCAAACCAACAAATTAAATCATTCGGTTTAGTAATTCGAAAAGAAATACTAAAAGACTGTATATATTTTTTGAATAACATGATTTTTAGGTAAACCTTTTGAACCAGACAAGCCACGACGACAAAAGACAGCGCCTCTCGTAGGGAAAATTAACGACCTGATACTTGATACAATTTCTCTGCAGCGGGATTCCAGGAACCGACGTAAAACGGAAAGGTACACGCGTAAACCGAAAATTAACAACCCCCATAAAAAAGCACCTCTTAGCTAAATGGGCAAAAGAACAAAAACCACACGAACGCCAATAAAACGGCTGGAATTGCCGTGCACTTAGGTGCATCATCAATTTTATTATTATAGTCGGCTGTGGCCCGCAGTTGTTTGCGTATATCAAGCGCGGCAACGTGACAGCTAGTGATGTCGGGTGTGTGTACCGAAATATATCAAGTGGCGGTCGGAAGCTGGCCTTTCAAACATACCCAAAAAAGATGGATAGGAAAGGATTATCGTAATTTGTAAAGCGTCGATTGCGGAGAGGTGGATTTTTTTTCCGAGGGGGTTCCTCGTCGCGCGGGGTTATTTCGGGACCGTTTTTTCCCTCTTTGAGAAGACGCCTTTGAGAGCGCCTTATTCATTTTTTATGCGGTAGCGGACGACATGAAAAATAA